CTTTCTGAAGAAGGATCCAGACCCGAAACGTCAGCTTTCCTGCTCCTCTGATGCTGCTTGGCCTGCTGTGTTCATCCAGCTCCTACACCTTGTTATCTGTTATAAATGGACCTTATTGCCAATGCCTTTGAAAGTGAACTTTTTGATGACCTGTCCCGGCAGAGTTTGATCCCCAGACTTGTAGATCTATGTTAAAATCTTAGAGATCTGCAGAACAGACGAAGTCCCTTTAGAGCAATGTGTCTACATTGGACTACCTAATTATTCTAATCCCCTTGGCCCAAGCCTTGTATGCCTTGGCATCACAAGTGTACATTAAAATCCTGCTTAAATATTAGGAGGGCTCCTGCCTCTACTACCCTCACAGACAGTAAATTCCAGATTCGCATCAACCTCTGAATGAAATTTTTTTCTTTCTCATCCCTTCTAAACCTTCAGTGCCTTATCTTCAGTCCCTGCCCCTGGTCAGTTGATACCTCCATCAAATGGAAAGGTTTCTTCCTGTCTACCCTATCTATGCCCCTCATAATTTTATACATTTCAGTCATGTCCCCTCACAATCTCCTCTGCTGTAAGGAAATCAATCTAGTCTGTCCAATCCCTTTTTTGTAGCAGAAATTCTCCAGCCCAGGCAACATCCTGATAGATCTCTTCTGCACCCTCTTCAGCACAATCACATTGCTCCTATAATGTGGCTTCCAGAACTACACCTCTAACTGTTGCCAATAACATTTTACTGGATTTAAACATAATCATATGTCAATACATTTGGTCTGTTTGCCTCTCTCAAACCATTTTGTATTTAGTTAGAAATGGTAGAAGTGTGAAACATATAAGAATTTACTTTATGGAACTAATAAGCTAACTTTACAAGAAATTAATTAGTTTTTCAACATGTGTTTAAGTAACATAACATAAATTTGGCAATCTTGTTTATAACTGTAATGATCTATTTAGGGATCAGTAACTTTTTAAAAGTTGATAAAATTTGCAATCCAAGAAAGCCACAGGATTTTGTGGTTTTGAACAAAGGAAATAAACCTAATTGCACAAAGTTAGACAAGCCAGGACTCATGCTGCATTAATGGTGCAGGAAAAAGTTTAATGATCTCATGTGAGTTGTCAAGGTAAGAGAGTTCATCTTCATCTTCAAATGGCACCTTGTACTAACTATTCACTTGGCCTCACCTGCTGCTTAATTCACTATACCTTTACTGACTAACACAATGCCCAACCATTCATTTATTTTACCTCGCCCTTGTACCTCTAGCTGTCAACTTGCAAATTCTGGTAGCCATTCACCATGACATTTACATCATCCAAATACATTGAAGCAACACTGAAACAATTCTAACATTCTGGTAGGCAAAAGTGATAACATAACAGAGGCAGTACCAATGAGCTGGAGTAGGACCAGCTAACCTACTGACTGTCCTGGGAAACGGAACTGCCAAAGACTGGCAGGGCAGGAGTTGTTGGAGAGAAGAACTAAATACCTTATCCCTTTCTTGTCATCCCACTTCTCCCTCGTCTCCCAAGGTCATTAGATTCTCAAGCTGTAGATGGTGTAAACACACGTTTTGTTTCTCCTCACCTCTCCCTGTAACTCAATCCAGCCATTGTCCCTTTTACACTTCAGAGAAGAAAGAACAAGAATCTTCTAATTCAGAAGAGGAGGAAGACCAGTGAAAATGAAGAGGCACCATCACTCGATTTTTACGGACGTAGTCAGCAGAAACTAACCCTACACATATTTTAAGAGGCTGGAATGCAGGAGCCTATTTGCATGTGAGACACCAAACCCAGGTGTACAGAAGCGTGCATGAGGAGCAAGGACAATCTAGATACTGCTCTCCTGAAGGTGATGTCTTTAATTAGTTGTGCAGTAGGTGACTTAGATGAGGACTTTGCCAGGATACAGAAGAGGCTAATGCAAATTCGAATGCAGCAAATGCTGGATAGATAAATGCTGGATGCTAAATAGAACCTGCTTGAAGTGCACAACAATTCTGACAACATCTTGTCTAATGAAAAATCACAGGCCAGAACTGTCAACTGGATTTCCCAACTCGGATGTTGCCAGACCTGCTGAGTGTTTTCAGCATTTTCTGTTTTTATTATCTGTGAAGGTTATACGTAATCCAGTGGTTTGTGCAAAGGTTTCCCATGCACAGTGTCAAGGAGCATAAATTAAACCAGCACCAACTTTTGAAAAGAGCTTGAAACCCATCCTGTCCAACATGCAGTATGTACCATCTCCAAGATGCACAGCAGAAATTCACCAGGGCTCCTTAGACATTGCCCTTCCAAGCCACTACAATCTGGAAAGTCAAGTTTAGTAGCTACATGGGAACAACAATACCTGCAAGTATTTCTGTAAGCCACTCTTGATTTGGGAATACATTGCCATTCTTCACTGTTCTTCACTATTGCTGGGTCAAAATCCTAGGACCTCCTTCTACAATGTTGAGGGCATACCTAAACTAAATGACCTGCAATTCAAGAAGGCAGCTCATCACCAACACCACAAGGGCAATTAGAAATGGGGAACAAATGCTGGACCAGCCAATGAGACACACATCTGAATGAATTTCAAAACAAACACCATAGAAGAAGTGATCATTTCCATCTGTGGAACCCAACTGCCTCTGTGTCTGATGGTCAGTGTCACAGTCTTGACTGAAAAATAAATAGATTCCAGCAAAGATTAGTGTTTCACTGGAAACTGTGCTGCCATTATAACTTTTGATAGGACTGTTTGAATGTCAGTATGTTCTTAACAAATCAGTAGTATTGCTGAGCCACTGCCCAAGCTGAGTTGCAGTGGCTTGATGGAATTTGAACCTTTGCCTTCTCTCAGAATGACAAAAGTCCTACTCTTGCCCATGCACTATCTGTGCACATGATGGTTCTCATCAGTCAGCCACTCCAGGCTGTGCTGGTGCAGCCTGCATAACAGCCAACCACAGTCAATGTAAGCAACTTTTCACCATGACTGCTGCAGCCACTAACGAAGCACGCTGTAGAGGATAGGCAAAGGTTTGGGGAAATGGAGCGCAAGGGAAATCCACACTGATTATTAGTTTATTTCTGTATGTATAATGTAAGGAATGAAATTGTAAAGTTGGATAAAAATGTACATTTTCTGGTGATTTTTATTTTGGTACCATTAGGCAAAGGACAATGGGGTGGTCAGCAATAGAAATAAGGAAAGAAACGTGGGACTGTTGGTACTGAAGACTTGTTGAGTTTATCAGTATCACTTATGAATTATTTGGTCAATAGAGCCTGAGCAGAAAAACATTGTCTGAGATGTAGCCTCCTTTCATTTCTCCTGATGCTCAACTTCCTGTTGGACTGAATTTCCTGTGCTTACTCTTCCTTTGTATTCATGTGTCAGATTCTTGGCCTGAAAATGGTAGCAAGAGATGCTAAGTTGTGCAGAATGCAGGATACCACTCAAAAACATATACCTGATCAGCTGAGCACTGAAGGATACCTCCAGAAGAGTCAGGCAGCAAAGGTGTTGCTTCAGGGTGAGTAGGTACCTCACAGCAGCAAAACTCTGAAGGCCTGCTGTGTATGTATGTGCTTGGATTATGAGGCAGAGTTCTCGAATCGTGCACCATGCCTGAAGTAGATGTCGAGTGTGTGGAATCCCTCTTCATTCTTGATGCTGGGATCAAGTTCCATTCTAGGATCTGAGCACAAAATTCAAGGCCAACTGTCCACTGCAGTTCTGAGGAGTTCTGCTCTGTCACAGATACCACCAGTTAAAGTAAACAGCAAACCAAGGCCCCATATACCTTCTTGGATGACTGTTAGATTTTGTCACCATTTTGAAGACCAGGGGAGTTATAATGGCCGACACTGAAGTCTTAATCAACTTGACAAAAACAGATTAGCTGATCATTAGTTATCATGTTGTTGTTTATAGAGATTTACTGTATGCAAATTGGTGTCAAGTTTCCTCCATTGCAGCAGTGACTACATTTCAAAATTAGTCATTGTAGGTAAAGTACTTAGGCGTCCGGTCATTATGAAAGATGCTATATAAAAGAACGTGAAGATTGGTAAGTTCATATGAGATCTGCACAAGATAGTAATCATTCACTCATAGACACTCTGAAGGATGTACCTTGCAATCTGCAAACCGTTATGCTTGCTCGGTTAAGAGGGAATGAGATAAACCGCCCTTATATATGGAGAGTTTTAATGACACCCACAGCGAGTTGCAAACTGTGATGTTGCTTCTACAACAAGCTGCAGTTGGGAAAGAGGCTGATATACACATGTTAAGAATCATAGGCACCTTGATAGTTGCAAGGAATTTTCATCTTGCCCTGTGATTGCAGCAGCTGGCACATTTTAATCATGACTTCTTTTGTAAACCTATTCTCGCATTCTGATCACTCAATCTGAACTATCAACATCTTTCCTCCCCACAACCCCACCTCCCCCATCTATTAATATAAATACTGCTCCTCCACACTTCACTTCAGCTCTGATGAAGACTCATCTAGACTCGAAACATTAGCTTACTCTTTCTCTATGGATGCTGTCTTGTTGTTTTCAGTACAGATTCCAGCATCTGCAGTAATTTGCTCCTACACCGTCTCCTGGATTGGTCATCTTTGTTGGAGAATAACGTAGTTCTCTAAAGACCCTCTGTGGATATGGCTTCCTGCTTCAAAGCTCATCCTCCCAGTTCCACAGTGCATTAGCTTCTAAACGTGATCTGCCCTGCCTTGCCTTCCTGGTCTCCCTGGAAGTAGTTTCTTCCAGCAGAAGCTTGTAAATGAATAGAACATAATTTCAACTTCAGACCACTCTGTGGAAACTGTTCAAACTTTAATCAATTATAGAAAGTCTCCGTAAAGAGTTGCGATTGTACCAGCAGTCAGAAGAAATAATCTAGCAACGAATCATGAGTAGGTCATGATTCCTTTAAATAATACTGATGGTGGATTCCTTGTTCCGCTAAACATAGTGTTCAGTGGTGCACACCAGTTTGCATCATGATCTGCTTGCTCTATGTGCTGTCAAGGTCCATTCTCAACCAAACAACATTGGCCCTCTTCTATTAATCTAATTATTTAGATTGCACTTTTGTTTTTGTTTAACTAACCTAAACCATTTTACTGTGATCACTTGATCCACCTCATATCCTCGAACCAGGAAGAGCAATACCCCCTTCACATTGGGTCATAAACAACTGATCAAGCAAATTGTGCTGAACAGGCTTCAGAAGCTCACTGTTGCTTTTCTAGTCTATATTAGGATTGCAAAGTTTTTCATTGTTACTGATGTATAGATTTTGCATTTTTGTAACACTCGGTTCGTTGGTGTATCTTTCCCATGGTTTGTAACCTGTGGAACACACCCAGAAGTGCAAAGGCAAAATATAAAGTTTTTTAAAAAAATAGTTTTATGGTAGTAGAGGAGATGGACTGTCTAAACAATGTTGTATGTGTTGATAGTAGAGAACGGCAGGATGATTTTATTTTTAACTTCACCTTGGAAGAAGAGCATTTGATGTTAAAGATTCAACGACATTTGGATATTTGTTAGTGAAGTGGAGAAGCTTACAATCATAAGTATAAAAAAAATTTAACAGATTTATTAACAGATTAAGCCAGGCTTAGATGTGTTTCATTGAGAATATTAAACAAAACGGTTGAGAAAATTGGGGTGTCTTACTTGTAATCTTGCAAAGGCTTCCTTTCTTGAGCAGGTTGACACCAGCAGTACGGAAGGTTACACCAGTAATTAAAAAGGAGAACATTCGATTGTTTTATATGTCAGTGAATTTAACGTCCATTTGAAAATTGCTAGAGCCCACTATATGTACAAAAGTAAGTGAAAACTGACCATTTCAGGACAATTCATGAAAGTCAATGTGCTTCGTGAAAGGGAGTTTATGTCAAATTACTTACTGGTTTCTGAAGAAATGGATTTGATAGAACTGATAGCTTTTCCTTTCTGCTGCTGCTTTGTATTTTTGACTAATCTGATCTATCTCACAGGGGAAAGGGAACAGTGAATTTTCCCAATGCTATTTTGGACCACAGAAACAATTCAAAGTTGTTAAGCTATCACCAGCCACAGGATACAGATTTAAGTTAGCGGCTATGAATGAACTTGGGATGAGGTGAGTGTATTCAAAAGGATAGGCATGATTTTCATATACTACTCTTAATCTGTTTTCAATGTTAAATACTGGTCCAAATCTGGCCTGAACAGTAATGTGCTAATAAGACTATTCAAAAATCAGCCACTTGGATGATTATTCACAACTGAATGTATGGAATAGAATTGATGGTTGGAGTGTTAGGATGTGTTTGGTGTGTTAGGACTTTAAAATTTTAGGGATGTGAACAATTAATACCAATTAGCATAATAAGAAAGCAAACTTCTTGTTACTTTCAGATAAATGCAGATAGTAGAGGGCCGAAAACTGATGGGCAGAAATGAAGAGAAAGGAACCCTTGGGCGTAGGCAAAGGGGACTGATTGATGAAATAGAACCTCCCATTTTCTAAACTCCCACCCCCCTTTCTCTTTCCCATGTTTGATTTTAAAAAAAAACATAATTGTATTGATCCTCTACCAAAGTAAGGTGTATGCATTTTGTCTGTAGATATAGTTGAAGGATATTTGCTGGTGAGCACTGAAGAATTCCTAACTGGCATTCCACACATCGGTCCTTTTCATTCTACAAACAGATCAAAAGAGATTCCCATTTGAACTAATTCCAGTTTGTGGTATAGGGTAAATAATCTGCAAAACAATTGCCATGAAGCCCAGGGGAATCTTTGAGGCAGCTGCACATAGCGTGGGATCAATAGGATTTTATTACTGGTTCTGTAGGATCTAGCAACTCTTGAAACTCCTTATCCGTAGCAGCATTCTGGCTTGGTGGTGCTGCCTCACAGCGCCAGTGACCCAGGTTCGATTCCACCCTTGGACAACTGTCTGTGTGGAGTTGGCACATTCTCCCCATGACAACTGTAGGGGTGCTATGATTCTGTGGGCTTAATTGCGATCTATAAAATTGGGAATCATGGTCAAAAGCTAACATGAATGTATTCCCTTTATCAATATTGGGTTATACCCATAAACTGGTGTGTATTTATATAACAGAAAAAATTAGTGCCAAGTTGTGCTACAAGGCCATCATCATTCATGATCAGAATGAATTTGATCAATCTATGTCCTAAACTCATTATATGCAGATTGATCAAAACATTCAGGGTTAACTGCTCTTATTAATTGTTTCTTGTATATGTTGTATCAGAAAGAGTTCTGATTTACAATTTTCCATAATTCCAGCAAAGCAAGCTGTTCAATATTTACAGCTCTGGCCTTTATGACCAGATAAAGTCTGTTCCAAGTCCCAAGGCCACCTGCCACTTATGGTTGGATGAAGCATCTTTTTATTGGTACACTTCCAAATGAGGGGGATAAAAATTGCTTGACCTTTCAATAGCATGTTTTTTCTTACTGCACCAGGTGTCACCAACATATTCAGCAAATGTCACCAGCAGTATTATAGGTTGAGAAAAAGTATGGTATAAACGGCCTCCTCAGAGGAGCAATTGAAAAATAAACAACTTTGAATAAATGTAAAAGCAAAATTATTCTTTTACTTTCTGGCTATGTATTCATAAAGGTATTTATTACAAAACCTTTCAAGAATACTTCCCCTGACATTTTTATGTCTATTACTTGTGCTCAAACACGTCTCAAAGCAAGGATCATGTTAAGTTGATGTGATTGGATATTCTGAAATACCTTTTTAACTAAGAACTGATGAGCCCATCAGTGGTCATCTTATTTATTGATTACCAAACAGGATTTATATCATGGAGCAATGTTGTTAATAATGTGTTAGTGGTTCAAAATTTGCCCCACTCTGACACACTTGAAACGATTACCTGAGGTAAGGAATTTAAAAAGGGGTTATTTTTTAAAGACAGAGCTTAGGAGATTTTTCTTTCTGAGTGTTATGCAGTTTTAGAACTCTATGCCTCAGAATTTAGTGGAGGCAGGGTCGTTGAATATTTTCAAGTCACAGAGCAGTGGACGTGATCTATTTGGACTTCAGTAAGGCGTTCGACAAGTTTCCTCATTGTAGACTGGTCTTTAGATCACATGGAATACATGGAGAAGTAGTCATTTGGATGCAGAACTGGCTTGGAGGTTGAAGACAGAGAGCGGTGGTAGAGGGTTGCTTTTCAGACTGAAGACCTGTGACCGACGGTGTGCCGCAAGGATCAGTGCGGGGTCCACTGCTTTTTGTCATTCATATAAGTGATTTGGATGTGAACATGGGTATGGTTAGTACGTTTGCAAATGACACCAAAATTGGAGTGGAGTGGACAGGGAAGAAGGTTACCTCAGAGTACAACGGGACCTTGATCAGATGGGCCATTGGGTCAAGAAGTGGCAGATGGGGTTTAATTTAGATAAATGTCATAAATGCAGCATTTGGAAAGGCAAATCAGTGCAGGACTTATGTACTTAACGGTAAGGTCCTGGAGAGTGTTGCTGAACAAAGAGACCTTGGAGTGCATTTTCATAGTTCCTTGAAAGTGGAGTCACAGGTAGACAGGATAGTGAAGAAGGCGTTTGGTATGCATGCCTTTATTGGTCAGTACATTGAATAAAGGAATTGGGATGTCATGTTGCGGCTGTACGGGACATTGGTTAGGCCACGTTTGGAATACTGCATGCAATTCTCGTCTCCCTATAGGAAGGATGTTGTGAAACTTGAAAGGGTTCATAAAAGATTTACAAAGACGTTGCTAGGATTGGAGCGTTTGAGCTACAAGGAGAAGCTAAATAGGCTCGGCTATTTTCCATGCAGTGTCAGAGGCTGAGGGGTGTCCTTCAAAGAGGTTTATAAAATCATGAGGCACATTGATAGGGTGAATAGCCCAGGTTTCCCCCCCAGGGTAGCCAAGTCCAAAACTAGAGGGCATTGATTTACGGTGAGAGGGCAAAGATATAAAAGGGACCTAAGGGGCAACTTTTTCACTCCAGAGGGTGATGCATGTATGAAATGAGCTGCCAGAGGAAGTGGTGGAGAGTGGTGCAATCACAAATTTAAAAGGCATCTGGATGGATATATGAATAGGAAGTGTTTAGAGGGATATGGGCCAAATGCTGGCCAATGGGACTAGATTAATTTAGGATATCTGGTTGGCATGAATGAGTTGGATCAAAGGGTCTGTTACAGCACTGTGACTCTACGTATGGAATCTTGTTACAGGGAAATCGAGGGCTATCTGTCACAGGTTGGATGGGAATGTGGAACCTGAAACCCAAACAGATCATCCATAATCCTATTGAACGGCGGAGCTCTCTCTAACTGGTCAAATGATTTCCTCTGCTCCTCTTTGTTATGTTTATATGAAATGCTTTTAACATGGCTAGAAATTTAGAGAGACATCAAATGCCAAATATTTATGATGTGTACTCTTAAAAATGTGATGCTTCCTCCAACAGTGATTTCAGTGAAGAGGTGCTTTTCTACACCACTGGCAGTGTCCCTTCAACACCGGCAAGTCCTCAGCTTGTTAAAGCAGGCATCACATGGTTGTCATTACATTGGAGCAAGCCGTCGGGAACCTTATCTGATGAGGGCATTAGTTATATTTTAGAAATGGAAGATGAAACCTCAGTAAGTTCATTTTTTATCATCAAACGCTGCTGAAGAAATCAGCAGGTCTGGCAGAATCTGTTGGGGTAGAAACACAGTTAATGTTTTGAATCCGATGTGACTTGTCTTTGGAACTATATTGGACTCGAAATGTTAACTCTGTCTCCACAGATGCTGATAGACCTGCTGAGTTTCTCCAGCACTTGGATTTAATTGCAGATATTCAACATCTGCAGTACTTTTATTTGATTATTTATCATACTTGAATGATCTCTCTTGAATAAGAGAATGAAGGTGACTGGGCATGATGCTCTTTTATCAGTTCGGACTGGCTTCAAACCTAAAGCTAGATAGAAAAAAGATTCTTCCTTTCTGGCATAAGAACCTTAACTGTTCAAATATATAGTGATTGGAACCGAAATTTCCTAGTGAGAAGGAAAAAAAATCTCACTGATGCAACATGGGTCCTTTTCAAAGTTTGGAGCCAATACTCCACTTATGATATAAAGACCAGTTGTGTCATGGGTAAGTGGTTACCTCTGTATTATATGTTATCTGGGCCCCTGCTTTATTATAACCACTGTGGCCTGAGATTGCAGCTTGTCTTTTCGCTTGAGCAGTTGTAACTTTTGTCCCTTGAGTACTGACAGCAAAGTAGAGAACAGATTAGATGTGAAAGAATTGGATTGTATTCTATTGTAGAACTAACCCCTTAAGAACAGATTCTGCCAAAATAAATGGAAGCTGTGCAGTTTCTGTCTTGGGATAACTTGAGGATGACACTGGGTGATAAAAATGTTTTTAGTTACCAGTTGCTTCACCTTGAGCACAAAATTTATCCAAGTCCTCCCACATCAACCCAGAGAAAAGTCCTACTTGGAATGGAGAATAACAAGGTGTTCACCTTGGATGTTACAGTATTGTGCTAACAAATACCTGATAATTCAAGAAGTGTTTTCTGTTCCTGTAGTAGTTGTCTATTGTACCAGAAGCACATTTAGATCAAAACCTTCAAGGTCACTATGCCAAAGTACAACATAATCTTCTAAAGCAGAGATTTGAAAATGTTTAAGGAACTAGCTTTTGTTTCTCACAAATTTTCATGACTTTATGTAAAATTTTTGCCTTTAGGGGTATGGATTTAAACCAAAATATGATGGTGAGGATCTTGCGTGTACAATTAAAAACCTTAGAAGAAAAAGTACGTATAAATTTAGGGTACGTATGTTGGAAAAATTTGTGTTCTTAGTTGATTGGAAGAGAATTATGTTACTCACCTCTGCTCCTGCTTATAGCAACTCCTACCAGGAGATCTGTTGTCAAGATACATTATCTTTTGTTTTACATCATTCTCTCACATGAAAAACCATAATCATTAAGCAGTGTACAGTCAAAATGAAATACTAAATGATGGCGTTAAATGCAGGATATTCTTTTTGACAATTTATAATGGAAACAACTGAAATCAATTTGCTGACCAAATTGAATAAGGCAAGATAATATGTATAAAATTTATAGTTATATTAGGCAATACTTGAGCAGCTGTCTTAGAGCATCAAGTCATATGGAGATGTTAACATGTTTGACACGTTGGTAGGCTTCATAACACATCTCCTTCAACTCTCCTGCCATCAGAAATATAGTCATCGTTTACCATAATGAGGGACAAGTTACAATTCTAGCCTTTTGACTTCATTCTGAAGTTGTTTTATAATTCAAAAGGATTTTTGCTTAGCTACATAGCATACTGATGAAAATAAATGGTTGATTCTATAATTAGAGGAAAAGCAGTAAATTGAAAAAGCCAAGAACAGTAGGTGAAAAATATTTGGTGGCCTGTAAATGACTTTTACCAGCATTTGCTGCCCTTTGCTGTTTCTTAGCTCCACCCTCTTTTTCTCTTGATCTTTCAGTCTGAGATCCCTCTCTCTGTACCTATTGCATCCATTATTAAAGGTGCTACCACACCTCATTTTCCTTTTTTGCTTCTTGCTCTGAATGGTGAACACCCTTGAACGTTCAGTTCCCAGCCACGGTCACTCCGCAGTTTTGCGTCTCAAGTCCAATGATCGTACTTGATTACTTCCATTTGTGCCATTAGTTCTTCCACCTTATTGAAAATCCTGCATCCATCTAGGCAGACTGCTTTTAATTCTGTTGTCTTATTATTTTTGCAACTTCTGGTCTTATCAGTTCCTGTATTGCTACCTTGACATCTTGCCTTGTTCTGTCTCTAATATATCACAACCTCCCTCACTTGATCCATCACTGCCACTATTTAATATTATTTGATTTTTAAAGCCTTGTATAGTGTATATTGGGAGACAGTGAGAGATTTTTGCCATGTATTTTGCGCACCAGATACTGCATGGAAACATACTGAGAAGGTGTGAATTGCATTTCTTTAGGGTTATTGGGAAGCAGCAATGGGGAAAATTTGAAATTGTGCAAATTGGGCCTGCTTGGTAACAGATTTAAAAACAGCATTGCCACTGATTCCCCTCAGCCCTGGATTATATGTGTGCTGCTTAAAAGGTGAAGCTGCTTAAAATATATGGGCTCTTGACAAAAGATTGTGGGAAATGTTGGGTAATAATTTTAAAATATGCTCTGAGGAAGGTTTAAATTCATGCTTCACATTGTGTAGAAGTAAAAAACCAGTGCTGGCTCATTGTGCCCTTTCTGGAGAATGAAAATCCAAGAGGAAATATGCTTCAGTATTTTGAAAAATATCCTAAAAGCAGAAGAATATATGTGAAAACCTATGAGATAACATAAGTGAGAACATTCTCAAATGAAATGCCCCTTCATGTGACTGGTTAAATGACAGACTTTGTCCCCATGGTCACTTGATAGAATGTTGTATGTTACAGGTAATTGCATACAATTCAGAAGGGAAGAGCAACCCTGGTGAAGTCATGGAGGTTACCACCTATGCAGACAAACCTGGATCACCATCTAAACCTTCGGTGAAGGGGAAAATTCATGCTCAGAATTTTAAAATTATATGGGGTATGATGCTTACTCAGATTAACTATAGATTAATAACTGATTCCATCAGATACAGTGGAACCTTGAAAATCCACCAAAAGAGAATTTGCCCTCTTGGCTATAATTAAATCTCCAAATGCTTATCCATATCCATCAGTCCTCACTCCTCTTCAGCAGTACTACCATATGATGGTCTGCTTCTACTAACAAGATCACATCCAGTGGAGCAATTGATCTATTGGTTGTTTCAACCCCTTCCCATTACACTGGCTTAGAACTCTATACTGGCCTTCCAAGGCCTCAGTGAACTGGTCAGAATACTCTCCTGACACTCTGTGATTTCTCCAATGAGAACTGACAGCATGTAGAATATGGAGTAGTCCCATCATAAATCAACATGGAATCATTCCAGAGAGCTGTAGTCTTTAAAATTAAAATAGAGCTTGCCTATATAAATGTGTTATTGAGTAGAAATGTTTCTGAAATGTATTGCCAGATATTTAAATAATAAATTGCTGCAAGAGCTGACAGGATTCTTGGAAGTGTAGGCATTCTCCCACAATTGTTTACCCCTGTAGGAGTGCATCATAGAAGATGCACATTTGGCAGGCTGCAAGTCTCTGAGCAGTTCCAAAAGTTGAAGTTGCAGGAAATACATAGAGAGATTGAGTATAAAAGATAACTGAGAAATCAACTTTTCCAGATTCTATTGGTCTTTCTGGTAGGTGTGGACCTCTGCAGATGGAGTACTGCTTAATGGGGAGTGACAGCCCAGTGGTATTACGCTGGACTGTCAATCTAGAGACCCAGGTAATGTTTTGGGGATCCAGGTTCAAATTCCACGACAGCAGATGGAATTTGAATTCAATTAAAATCTTGAATTGGGAGTCTAATGAAGACCACAAATCCATTGTTGATTGTCAGAAAAACACATCTGGTTGACTAAGGTCCTCTAGGGATGGAAACTGTCATCCTTACCTGGTTGGGCCTACATGTGACTGCAGACCGAAGCAATGTGATTAACTTTTAACTGCCCGCTGGTCAATTAGAGATTGGCAGTAAATGCTGGCCCAGCCAGCGACACCTTCATGCCGTGAATGATTTAAAAACTTATCAAATCTGCTTCCATTGTCCTTTTAGGCCCTATGTTCTAGATCATAATTGACGTTCCACTGTACATGAAATCAACTACAAAGAAATGTAAAATACATGCAGCACTATCAAATTCTTTTAACTAACCCAATTTTCTTAGTGTATCTGTGCTTACAAAATTAAGTGTCTGACCTTGTCATCATTAGTTCAGTTCTTCCCTTCCAGATCCACCCAAGGACAATGGAGGATCAGCAATCACAAAGTATGTGGTTGAGATGTCAGTTGGTGCAAATGGTAAGACATTGTCAAATTCAGCATAGGTTTTCTTTGAATTTGTATTTTGGCATATGTGTTTGATTTGCCTCATAAATATCAGGCACCTCAGGAAAACTTGGATCTGAGAAGTATAACCCTGATTTAGGAGTTTTTGCCTTTGGGACTGACACCATTCAGCTTGATGAACAAAAGAATTCATATGCAAAATATTATGAGACAGCACATTGTTCTAGTGCATTTTGAGGTCTATTCTTGAAGAAGAAATGAGTTATGTAGTTATTAGCCCATATTTTCCAGTGGCCAGACAGTTGTTGTCCCAGCATAGATTTTGATTGTGCATGGGGACCCTGCAGAATCCCCATCATAGCACATTCTGTAGGACTTGCCAGGGAAATTGAAGATTCCGTTGGTATTTTCAATATTCTTGGGACCTTTCAAAAGTATCCCTTTAAATTAGAGATTTCAGACGGTTCTGATGAAATGAAGTAAATATACAGCCTCCTGAGTAAATATTCAACTGACTTCTTATTTACATCACACTCCCAACTACAGCATCATCAGCCCACCCCCTGCCCACTCCAGACCTGATCTGCCTCTCACCTCCCCCTCCTCAGGTGTTGGACCACTGCCCCCCTTTCAATGCTCCAGAACCATTGCCCCCCCCCCCCCCACCACTCTTAGAGGTAATTCCACTTTTGCTTCGGCAAATTCAGTTTTGAGTGGAGTTTGTGATAGGATCAACTGCTATCATACAGTTTGTTCGTGTGGTGTAAACTGTCTTCCCAGGTTTGACTGAATGCAACCATATTATCAATTATGTTCAACAAAGTTGCATAATCTTTCAGTGACCCTGTTGGTTAATCATTGAAAAGCTTCTGGAGCATTTATCATCCCAAATAGCATAACTTCACATCGATAAAGTTCATCCACCTTATGCAAGCTGGTATTTCTTTGGGCGAGGTCCAGTATCTCATTAAAGAGCCAATTTTTGTGATATATCATGCTTGACCAGTCCTCCCACACAATCTTCTAATTGTGGAATCAGGTATGAATTTTCCTTTGTCACGATAATCAGTACCCAGTCTTTCTAATGCATCCGGTTTCAGCTTAATCACAATAGGCGAACTTGAGTTACTATGACTTAATTCAATACTGTCATTGTCCATCATAAATTTAATCTCTTCCCTCACTTGAGTTAACTTCTGTGGGTTGTGTACAAAAGGATTATTTTTGAATAACACATATACCTATCGTATTACCATGTATAGCCAATGGATTTGAATCTAACAGTTTTTGTAAGTTATTTCAATAGTTTTCTAGAAAATAGCATAATATTCTAACTTTTTAAGCACTGCACTATTATCCAATGATGACTGGAGGGTCAGCTTCTGAATTTTCAATTTCTAATTCTTTCTCAAATCATTCTGATATTCATTCAATTCCCATTTCTTTCACCACTGTACATACACTTATGTTCTTACAATCCTCCCAGTAAATCTATCCCTTTGACCTATTAATACTACACACATGCTGATTTTTTTTTTCTGCCTCCTGTCTTGAGTACTCATGATACAATTCACGTCTTTGAGTTTCTTTTTGAACTGATAAGGTCCAGAGAGACTTGCTTTCAAAATTGTTACCCAAAAACAGATAGTAGTAGTAACACGTTGCATGTTGCAAGACTGTTCCAAGCTTTGGCCTTTTTATTTGCTATAGTTTCCATTGTTTTTTGAGCACTTTGGCCACCTTGAATACTTTGGTTAGTTTTTCTTGGAAATTTGACACCTAATTCAGAAATGTAGTTGCTGTGTTTTAGTTTATGAATTTAAAGGGTCCTCTGACCTCATGTTTGTATATCCTTCAAACAATTAGTCTTGTTAATGCAGTAGAAGTATCCTTAATGAGAAGCAGTGCCAAGGGAATTAGGACATTCCTGACAAGAAGCTGTCATCATAATTTGGTACCATTTTTCTAATGCTCCTTGAGATATTCTGAAGATGTAAATTGTTTTATTCTTCCCAAACTATTCACTATTTCTATGAATATTTTGACATTAAGTTTAAACGTTGATCTGATTGTATTTCTTTGGATAATCCATATCTTGTTCAAACATTAAATTGAACCAACTTTTCTGTTACTATTTTTGCCACCATTTTCCCCAGAGATAGTGGCCTAGGAGACCTCGTAGAAATATCCATAATTGTTGATACTGATTTGCACATTTGGTGTTAGATAGTGCCTTCCACAATTTATCAAGGCCCTGTGAAATGGTTTGAATTGAAAGCTGGTATCAGAATTAAAGGAGTGAGTTTAACTGATGGTTGGGGTCTCCCCACTACCTGACATGTATGACATGTTTGGTAAAATTTAACCAAAACCTAATGCAATCCTCGCCAATAAAAAAATAAAAATTTGTATTTTAGCCTGCATTTTCCTAATCCCTAAGTGGCCTATCATTGGAATTTCATCAGACATTTATAAAATTTAATTACAGTACTGAAGTGGAACTGATACCTGATGGACTGCTGCTAATAACCATTGGCTGGTATTTGAGATGGACTCCATTTCCTTATCACCGTTTGTATTTTTAATAATAATACTTAGGTATTGATTTTGGTTCAGTTGTTGAGTGGGCAGTTTGTTACAGCTCTGTCAATTCAGATGTTTTGGATTTACTGTCCTGTGTACTGTAGTACAGAAATACAGGAGTACAGTGAAAAGTATACAAAGTCCCCATTTTCTGGTGTCATCTTAGTATGTATAAGACAGAATTAAAAACAGTAGCAGAAGTAAATGAAACGGCTAAAAGATCACTCCCACATTTATGTCATGAATCCTGTCCACCAGAAAAACAAAGCCACAAAGTCCATCCCTTAGTCTGCGAACACACGGCCTCTGCCATCAGATACCCAGGCGCAGCCATGTCCTGGAACCATACCACAGTTGCTGGAACCATGTCACAATTCAGGGTTCATCTGTTGCATTTCTGATAAAGAAGACAGAGTAAATTTGTCAGCCTCATTCTGTTTTCCTTTGACATTATTTAAATTTTCAAAATAGTGTCAAGTAACTGGATTTCCGTGTCGTCTCTTTTGTTTCGTAAACTCATCCTCTTCCTGCCTAATTCTATTGCCCTGAGGTTTGATTAAACCACAGCCAGGAAAAAAGCAGGATATTCCTCCTGTAGCAGCTCAGTTTCTTTTGCTTTTGCTAGTGTTTATACACCCTTGATGAGGCCTTTATGTTTGAAACAGACAGTAATTTACCAACGCAAAATCACTTCCTTCTGTAGGGATATGCAGCACTATCCCAACTACAAATACTTCATTTACTAAGCCACTCTTTAATGCAACTCTGTTATAATGGGACCAGTTTCTAAACTCCATGTATACTTCCACTTATTAAGCCCACTGGAGGATAACTGGCGTTATCAGCAAGCATCAGCAACTGGTTTGTTCCAGTGTGTCTCAGTATCTTTATTGGTTTACCTCCTTAATTAGAAGAATAAAGGAATATCTCTCCTTGAAATAAAATATTCATAATCTTTAGTGGTCTGATTCTGTTTGTCAGTTGTCGATAAATAATTTTCTTGTCTGCCTGAGTCATCTCTCCCTTAGTATGTTCCAAGCAAACATGCTCCACTTGTTCTGTTGCTCCAGTTTTAATACCCATTCCTTTTCTGGTGCACCCTTTTCAGTTCAAAGCTGACTTTCTTACCTCTTTTCTTGAGGGGTGGAGAGGGGTGGCAGTTGTAGAAAAATCACCTTTGCTGAACTAAAACCAAAATCCCTTTAACCTCTATTTTAAAGTCCAAATACCCAAAATAATATGTATTAAACTACTATCAAAAAACAAACAATTATAATTTTTATGAGAAAATTGGGCCATTTCCAAGAAAGCCTAAATGCCTCATCAAACATATTGTGACAAAATATGCAGCTGCGTATTTTAAGAAATTTACTTACTGTTTGGTGACACTGCTATTAGAAGATCTACTCATAACCTATTTCTAATAAACTTTTTAGGAAACACATGGAACGTGGTTTATAATGGAGCTACCAGAGAACATGTGTGTGACCACCTTAATCCTGGCTGTGTGTACCAGTTGAGAGTTTACTGCATCAGTGAAGGAGGGCAGAGTCCGGTAATGTTGAGACTTATCATACTGGCCACATAAGTATCCCTTTGCTGGACTTTTACTCATTTTATTACAATGTTAGGAACTGTAGTGTAAATTTGTTAATTTGCTTTTTAAAAGAGTTTTGGGAACTGCTTTCAAAATCTTATAAGAAATCGTATTAGCGGGATCACTAATTTTTGTGATGTATATCTTTTACAGGTCTCAGAAACATTACTAGTGCAGACACCAGCAGTTCCCCCTGGTCCTTGCCAACCACCAAGACTTGTCGGTAAAGCACGGGCAAGAGAAATACAGTTACGATGGGGTAAGAGCCATTTGTCACTAAATGCTGAAAATGTAAGTATGTATGTGAAGTTGATTGTGTAGAATGAGTTTAGCCCAGTGATTGTAAGTAATTTTTATGTTGATACATGCTTAAGTACATAGCTGCTGATCATCCTTGTTCCACACTGATTCATATACCCAACAGAAATTGAGTTTTTCTTGGTGGAAAATCTTTATTTGAACCATGCTTAGCTAACAATTCTTAAAAATTGTTTAACATTCTTTAAAAACTTGTTTTCTCATTTTACTTTTTGTAAGTACATTACTTGAATAGATGTTTCTAAATTTGCAATCCAAAACTGGAAGTATATCATTCATAAAGAATTCTCCAGTTTCCTAATGTTAGTAATATTACTGTTCTGATGAAGGGTCACCAAACTCAAAATGTTAACTGTTTTCACCCCACTGAAGCTGCCAGACCTGCTGAGTTTCTCCAGCAATTTCCATTTTTGTTTCAGATCTACAGCATCCTTAATTCTTTGTCTTTCTTTAGTGCCTAATATTAACTCCTCTAAGTCTCTGTTGTTATTAAAATAAATGTCTGCCTATACTAAATAATAGCAGAGTGCTTTGAGATTTAAGTACTTTAACTCACTTTTTGTCAGCACCGTAGCTTGGAAGCAACTTAAGCAGTTCTTTTGGTTTTTAAAAAATCTCAAGCTGGTTTTGATATAAGTTAATCTGGATACCATAAACATGTTTGACATTTGAAGCTCTAAAACAGCACAGTGAACTTCAAGCATCTATATCCCTTCCAAAGCTACAAATTGGCACGCAGGATATTTCCATCTGGACCCATTGCATAAATATTGCTTAAATTATATAAATGTTTTAATTTGTCTTAAAGTTGATAGCGAGTAAAACTGATTTAACATATCCAAGAATAATCCTTCCTCATTTTAAAAGAAGAAAGACAAGTACATTTATCTGAATCTTCTTTCTCTGTCTTAGTTTTAAATAGCTTGTCATTTAAAACTATTTTACAAAGTATAATAATTTCTGTTGAATATTTAATTCCACTGACAGCTGATAGACTACTTTTTAAAAAAGGAACAAGACCATGTCTGAACTTATGGATTAACTCTACTTTCCTGCAGAAGCAAATATCCTTTGGTTCCTTCAGTGTAAAATAAAATCTGGAAATGACATCTTGTGTTATATTTTGCATATTACTTTTATCTCCTGTTCATGTTTACTTTTTACCTTGATTATGTACTTTGGATGTGTATATGAGACTTTAGCAGTTTAGTGATTGTATAAAAATTGTAAAACAATATGTCAATGCCTATATTATACCTGCACTCAATAAAATTAATATGAACACTATTTAAAATTCCTCAGGAACTTGATCACAACAAGAAGGAATTACGCAAATTGCCCATCTTGGATTTCATTGTGTCTAGGTTGTTCAAGCTTATCAGCTCAATGAGGCACTTCATTTCAAAAGACCATCGATGGCATCTTAAAATTCCAATGTTTATTGTCAATTTGCAACAGTTCTCTATATGGATTAGTTGTACTTTGTTTGATAATGCTGTTGTGAAGCCTTGGGTCATTTTACTATGCTAAAAGTACTATATAAATGTAAGTTGTTTCACTCAAAAGTGTACAAGCTTGATTTGTCTCATTAGGCCAACCTCCTATAATTGGCGGTTCTCACATAATCGGTTATAGACTGGAAATGTCTGCATCAGACCTGACTGAACCCAAGGAGGTGTACCAGGGACCTGACACAGAATGTACAGTCTGCAGCCTACTTCCAGGGAAGATATACAGTTTTCGACTTCGGGCTGCAAACAAAGCAGGGGTAAGGGGTCAAGATTATGGAAACCTCACAGTAATGTCAAATATAAGTGTAAAGATGCATACAATCCTGCCATATTAGCTTATGTTTTTGTTGCAGCATTGTTTAGCTCTTTGAGAAACATTGTTTTACACAGTAATCTATTGTTAGATTGGTGTAGCTCTTCACATGACATTGCCTCCTACAGGCTCAAACTTATAATGTAGTTATTTTTGAAGTAATTATTTTCTGTAATGACATTTAGGATGCAGCAGCCGTAGTGTTCAAATACTTGTTCAGTAGTGATGGTTATGGGATAAATGTGATAGTTCATTCTTTTGTTTGTTACTATAGTTAATGGAAATAGGGATACAAATGAGTTAGTGCAGGAGGAAAAGAAAGTGTCTATCAGTTTTGTGATAGAGAAGGTGGGATTGTCAAGAATTGGTACTGAGTAGTAATTCAGTAATTTTGGAAGATACCAAGATTACAAAATCAGGTTATCATAAAGGAAACAATTTATTAACCGCTTGTTACATTTTAGAGCTGTTTGAATGGGAAATAACTCGTTCTTTATCATGAAGTGTGGGTTGATCAATCCACAGTCGACATGAGTTCTATTTCTAATCTTCCCGGTTAAGCTTAACATTTTGGAATTAAATATCTTGCATATTTTAACAAAAGTTGTGCAGTCCGAATAATTATATTTTTTTCACACAGTATGGTCCTCATTCAGAAAAATGTGAAATTTGTACAGCTGCAGGATGTCCTGATCAATGCAAAGTTCCACAAGTTGTGTGTAAAACAGCCACCTGCGTACATGTCAGCTGGACAGTATGTATTATGTCTCCTTTTGTCTTATCAATCTTGCGGCAAAAATTAAGTCCTTTTTATTTCAATATTAATTGGATCATTTGAGTGTATATATCTGCAGAGTAAAGATCAGTTACTGTAAACAACTTCTGAAAGTTGTATGAAAATTGTATTCATACTCCTAGTCATACCTGAAGATAAAGCACCTCCCACTCCCTACTGAAGACAGGTGTGCAGCATTCAAGTCGGGTGAGCCGGACCAATACAGAAAATCCAGATATCACCACCTCAAAGCCATCGGGGAGGCCAGGAGGCAGTACTGGACGAAGTTAGAGGCCCAGACCTACCATACAGAGTCCCGCTGTCTATGGCAAGGCCTAAATGACATTACGGCTACAAAATGAGAGTTAAGATGGCGGACAAAGACACATCCCTACCTGACACGTTCGATGCCTTCTATATTTAGTTTGACAGAATACCACCGACGTGGTGACGCCTGCCCTGAAAGCCCTGGACACACCTGTTCCCTCTGCCACCTCTTCAGAAGTAGATTAGTCTTCCTGGGATCAAACTGTGGAATGCAATGAGCCCGGACAGTTTCCCTGGCCGCGCACTCAGTTCCTGTGCAGACCAACTGATGCAGGTATTCTCTGACATCTTCAAACTCTCCATCTTAAGCTGAAATCCCTACCTGCTTCAAAAAGATCACCATCATCCCCGTACCCAAGAAAACACATGCAGTGTGCCTTAATGACTACTGCCCAGCAGCCCTGACTTGAATAATCATGAAGTGCTTTGAGAGGCTGGTCATGGCCAGCATCAAGTGCAATCTCCCAGCCTGCCTCGATCCCCTACAGTTTGCCTACCGACATAACAGGTCCACAGAGGATGCCATATTCCTAGCCCTGCACTCATCCCTGGAACATCTGGACAACAAAAACACCTACGTCAGACTCCTGCTCATTGACTACAGCTCCATCTTCAACACCATTATCCCCTCCAGACTGATCTCAAAACTGCATGACCTTGGTCTTGGCACCATGCTCTGTAACTGGATCCCCATAGGCCACAATCAGTAAGGATGGGTAACTGCAACCCCAACCCCCAAATTAACGCTCAACACTGGAGACCTCTACAATGAATGCCATCTACAAATTTGCTGATGACACCACCGTAGTGAGACAGATATCTAACAACGATGAGTCAAAATACAGAAGGTAGAGGGCATGGTGATATGGTGCAATGAAAACAATCTGTCTCTCAATGTCAGCAAAACTAAAGAACTGATCATCAGCTTCAGAAAGAAAGGAGGAGAACACGCCCCCATCCACATCAAAGGAAATGAAGTTGAGAGCGTGAAGAGCATCAATTATCATCACTCTGAGGTACAAGACGACCTGACCTGCACTTCCCACATAAATGTGACGGTGAAAAAGGCACACCAACACCTCTTCTTCCTCAGGCAGCTCAGGAAATTTGGCATGTCGGTAAGGTCCCTAACAAACCTCTACAGATGCACCATTGAAAGCATACTGTCTGGGTGCATGACGGTCTGGTATGACAACTGCTCTGTCCAGGACCGTAAGAACCTACAGAAGGTTGTGTGTACAGCCCTGACCATCACGGAAGTCAACCTTCTGTCTGTGGACTCTTTATATGGCTCGCTGCTGCGGAAAGGCGGCCAACATCATCAAAGACCCATTGCACCCTGGTAATGACCTCCTACAACCTCTTCTGTCAGGCAGAAGATACAGAAGCCTGAATACACACATGAGCAGGTTCAGAAATAGCTTCTGTCCTGCTGTTATCAGACTGTTGAATGGACTCTAGCCTCAAATAATGTAACTTGCAATGTAACCTATAAGCCTCTACGTCTTTTTGATCTGGACATCCTTTGCTTGCTGTGATCTGCCTAGACCTCTCATAAACAAAGCTTTTCGCTGAAATACACATGACATTAAATCAATCAGTCACCTCAGAACTCTTGGCCTAGAAATTAGTTTAAGCTTTGAAACACCAAATAAAATGATCTCTAGTTCAAAGGGGTCCAAGGATCACGACAATTCAGAACTTGGGTCTCAGCATATGATTGTAGTAAGCATCTGTTGACCATCATTTAATGTTCTGAAGAATACAATTTCAAGGTGGTTTTTGCTAAATACTGGAAAGAATGGGAGATAGCAGGGAGCAGTGCTGACTGTGACTGCCTCAGCTGTTAAAAAGCTTGTTTAACTAAGAAGATTTCTTTTTCCAAAGAGGCAGCTTTTGCCAGTGGCTGCTGCTAGCTAGAATGCATCATGTTCAGAAAATTTGAGTGGAGTAAACTCAACTTTGCGACCTAAGTTGTTTGCTATGCTTTTTGTGTGCTGTTTGACATTCAGAAATAATTTACATATTTATATACTTCATTTTGTTCTTGCAGACCCCAAATGGTAATGGTGCTGATGTGACAGAATACAGGCTGGAATGGGGAGTTGTGGAAGGTGTCATGCAAATATGTTATTGTGGCCCTGGTCTAAATTTTGAAGTGAAGGGGCTTTTGCCAGCCACTACATACTTTTGTAGAGTGCAGGTAATTGTGAAACTATTTAGAATTATAGAGTTATACAGCATGGAAACAGATCCATTGGTCTAATTTGTCCATGCCGACCAGATATCCTGCACTGATCGCGTCCCATCTGCCAGCATTTGCCCCATATCCTTCTTAAATCCTTCCTATTCATGTACCCATCAAGATACCTTTGAAATGTGATTTAGCTGCCTCCACCATGTCCTCTGGCAGCTTGTTCCAAACCAGCACCACCCTCTGCATGAAAAGTTGCCCCTCGGCTTCCTTTTGGATCTTTCCTCGCTCACCCTCCAGTTTTGGACTCCCCGACCCTAGGAAAAAGACCTTTGCTATTCATCCTGTCCGTGCCTGTCATGATTTTATAAACCTCTACAAGGTCACCCATCAGTCTGTGTGCTCAAGGGAAAAATGCTCCAGCCTACTCAACTCTTTCTCTAGCTCAAACCCTCCAAGCCCAGCAACATCCTTGTAGATCTTTTCTGCAAGATTTCAGAGGTACAAACATAGAACATGTGGATGTGCTGAGGACAAGGAGATTATGTGCACATAGAATTTAAACTGGCATAGATGTGATTAAAAGGTATAGGTTAAGGTGTGGGAGATGGTGGCATAGTGGTAATATCACTATACTAGTACTCCATATGCCCAGGCCAGTGCCCTGGGGATAAGAATTCAACTCCCACAATGGCAGCTGGTGGAATTTAAATTTCATAAGTGCGACCATGAAATCGATCTTTGCTTGTTGGAATAATTCCAAGATAAGATCCATCAGTACTAAATCTGCCTTTGAAAAACCTAGTTTAAATGAAAAAAGTTAATTGCCTTTTTCTTAATGTCCTTTGCTTCAAAAGAGTTACTGAATATATTATAAAATGCTGATGACATTAAGGAGTTACTGCATAACATACTTCTCATTGCTGAGGAGAATAGACATCCTAGAACCCCTTTTCAAATATTGCTATTTGTGTGAAGCAGAACTTCTTGTTCTATAATTAACTTGCTTTTTAATGCTTTGAACTTGTGGTCTTTTGTTCCATGTTGTAAATTACGTCAAATTAAAATAACAGATTTCCCTTTTCCTATTTGATTTCATATATTATGTGCTTCATTTTTAGACTGAAAAACCCAGTTTTCAGCATCAAAATAAAGACAAAGTACTGGAAATAATTTTCAGATTTGGTACCATCTTTAGAGAGAAAAAGATTTAACTTTTCGAGTGAGGTTTGACTCTTCCTCGGAATAGGTTTCTGCACCGTTGTCCATATCTCTAACACCAGGAGTCAGTTTTCTGGTTCTTTTCTGCGCTGCTCCCAACCCATACAGACCTCCTGTATGACCAGAACTGGACATAGTACCTGGATGTACTCCAATCAGTGCACTTTGCAGTCTGAGAGTCAAATTTACAAAGGCTGATGATCTCTTTCAACTCATCATTATTTCAACACTGTTCACAGGGGTCATTCCATTTTCCTTCCTATGTACAATGCTTTATACTTTGATCATATTCATTTTCACCAGTTGTATTTCTTATATGTTTTATCTGACTCTCCCGAACTGCCTTTTTTCCCTTTGAGTCTTATCATATTTGCAGAAAATATCAATTTGCATCGAGTTCCTGAATTCAAATAATGATAAGCAATAAGCTTTTTAAATTCAGTATTGTTTATACACCTGAACCTATTCCAACATAAAGTGCTGTTTTCAGTCAATTTCTTTAGTTATTCCCAAGATTCATCCTCAGTAGAGATACTAAGATTCTCTTTCAGTGAATGTTAAATTTTAAGTATGGACTTTATTCAGTCTCCATCCCAGTAAACTATATAACCTTTACCCAGTGTGCACTCCTTCATTATATTCTCAGAACAACTGTTCTGTTGTCAAAATGGTTTATTCTGGAATTTTTGTACACTATTTAGGTTGACTTTTCTACCACCCACCACCCATTCATAACATTAATCTATCTTTTCCAATCCCTTTGCCATTTTCAGTAACTCTAAAATATTTCAGACACTTTGTTTCCAAGCTGAACAGCCCACATTATTGTAGTTATTCCTCCTGCCTCAGATCTCAAATACTAGATGTCAGCTCCATGAGCTTCCTCCATAACCTCTGATACTTGAATGTTTCCCTTGTGTCCAGCAAATCAAACTGGGCATTGTACTCATGATGTAGTTTGACCTTATTACTGTACAGTCTCCTCATAATTTCCTGTAACTGATTATTGCTTGGACTGTACAGTCCCAATGTTCTGTTGACTTTAAGTAATATTTCTCAGCATCTTATGGATACATTTACCATCAAATCCACATAGATAAATCTGCGTGGTATACCACAAGGATCTGTTCTGGGTCCTGTTCTATTTGTGATTTCTGTAAATGATTTGGATGTAGGAGTGAAAGGCTGGATTAGCAAGTTCGTGGATGATACGAAGGTGGATCGAGTTGTGGATAGTGCAGAGGGCTGTTCTAGGTTACAAAGGGACATTGATAGGATGCAGAGCTGGGCTGAGAAGTGGCAGATGGAGTTTAATCCTGAAAAGTGTGAGGTGATTCATTTTGAATCTTGAAAGCAGAATACAGGGTTAACGGAAAGATTCTTGGCAGTGTGGAGGAGCAGAGGAATCTTGGAGTTCATTGCCAACAGTTCCCTGAAAGCTGCCACCCAGGTGGATAGAGTTGTTAAGAAGGCGTATGGTGTGTTAGCTTTCATTAATAGAGGGATTGCGTTCAAGAGGCGTGAAGTTACGCTGCAGCTATACAAAACCCTGGTTCGGCCACATCTGGAGTATTGTGTCCAGTTCCAGTTGCCTTATTACAGGAAAGATGTGAAAGCGTTGGAAAAGGTGCAGAGGGGATTTACCAGAATGTGGCCTGGAATGGAGGGAGGGTCTTACAAGGAAAGGTTGAGAGAGCTAGCCTTTTCTCTTTAGAACGAAGAAGGATGAGAGTTGACTTGATAGAGGTGTACAAAATGATCAGAGGTATAGATAGAGTGGATAACCAGAGACTTTTTCCTAGGGTGGAAGTAGCTATTATGAGGGGGCATAGTTTTAAAGTGAGTGGATGTAAATATAGGGGAGATGTCGGAGGTAGGTTCTTTACTCAGAGAGTGGTAGGGGCATGGAATGCATTGCCAGAGCGGGTAGTGGAGTCGGCCTCATTAGGGGCATTTACGCGGCTATTAGATGGGCATATGGATGATAGTATAAGGTAGGGGTGGAGGTTAAATAGACCTTAGGTTTAGGGTAAAAGTTCAGCACAACATCGTGGGCCAAAGGGCCTGTACTGTGCTGTACTGTTCTATATGCTATGTTCTAAATCGCTTACCTTTTGTTATTTTAACACCATATTGAGTTTTTTTTTCTATGTGTTGTTGCATTAAATTACATCTGCCATAGTCCGCTTTGCATTATTTTGTTTGAAAATTCTAAGATGTCTTCTCCAATGTCACTGCAGCATGTATTTAGCTGCCATTCTGAAAGTTCTGCATCAAAGTCAAATCATGAATTATAATACTCTAAACAATATTGAACTCGCTGAACCTGGGTGCGTCCTATTCAGTACTGGCAATGAATATTAAGTATTTTCTACATTTCAGCCAACTACTTCTTATTCCTTGTTATGTTTTACATTAAATCCCTACAGTTTTGAATGTAAATAACAGATTTTTATAGAACTGAAGTAATTAAGTGTTGTTCTCAATTATACTAATTGAGTTTGTAACCATTAACTGGAGTGAACTGGTAAGTTTTAATGTCAATGATTCACAGTACATTATTAAGAACTGAACAAGTATCAAAATATAACAATGGATGTTAAAGTTTTTTTTGTGAGTTAAAAGCCAAACAGTCTTTAAAAGTATTGTGTGTTGCATGTTATTAACTTTCAAACCTCTGTTTCCAGGCATTGAATGTTGCTGGTGCAGGTCCTTTCAGTGATGTGGTTTTGTGCATGACTCCACCATCTGTTCCAGCTGCTGTAAGTTTTCTGCAAATGATGGATGAAGACAAACTTGATACGCCACTTGACTCCCCTTCAACTTGTCTTGCCATACAATGGGAAGAGCCGCGCAATAATGGTTCTGAAATCACAAGCTACAGTATAGACTTTGGTGACAGGCAGCCAATAACAGTAGACAGGACGATTAACCATATCATTCGAAATCTGCAGCCAGATACAACATACAGGTATGGTGGATTCCAAGGATTCAAGTAGTACCTAGTTACTCTACATTGTTTGATTGTATGCCAAGAGGTGTCCCACAGTGGTTTAAGTTAGGTTTTAGTCTGCAACTGTCGAAGCCAAACTTTCTGTGACCAGTGTTTGTTTTTATAAAGCGATTTAAGAGTCTGTAATAGTCCTTGTAAGCAATTTTGATAGTTAATTTGGAAGATGAAATGTCACATCATCTAAACTTCTAAGCACTTGCATTATACAATCTGATTTGAACTTTCCAGTTTTCAATTTCTGATTGATTCACTAATTGTACTGAGATATTCGTATCACTCCCTTTTTTGTTATTTTTTACCATAAATCTACTTTTCTCATGATGTCCTCCCTGTCATCGTATTTACGTGTTAACATAACACACTTGCTGATTTTTCTTCTTGTCAGGAGTACTCCCTGCAGAAATTACCACAATTAACTTGTTTATAAATTGATTAGTTAAAATTAACTTTGATTTTAATGGTTCCTCAGAGACAAGTTACAGTACTTTGTACCTAGCAAAAAATATGGAATTTGGCCTTCTTTGTATTTGCTGTAGCTTTCATTGTTTGAACACTCTTCCACTGCTTTTTGGCCAGTATACATGCCTTGGTTAGTTTCTGCCTGAAACTCAAAACATAGGCTGAAATGTAGTCTCTGGACTTTGGTTTATCAATTTCTCTTAATCAGTTTGAGTGGTCCTATTATTCCAGTTCGGTATATCGGTTCAAAAGGAGCGAATCCTATGGACTCATTATGAACATCCCTAATAGTGAACAGTAACAATACCTTTATCCTAATCATTAGAAGACTCCTGACAATGAGCTCTAATTATGGTTTTCAAAGTTTGATGCCATCTTCCCAAAACACCTTAAGATTGTGGATGATAAGTCGAAGATGTCAGTTGTTCAATTCCCAAACTAATTCTTGATACTTTGAATTTTTATCTCACAAAATTTGAACCTTGATCTAATTCTTTAGGTAATCCATACTTCGTTAAAACGATCTAACATCCTATGCTGTTTTTGCAATATTTCTGCCCTAAAAACACGACCTGAGGAAATCTTGTAGAAATATCCATAATTAATAAAGGATACTGATTTTCAGTCCTGGCTTTAACTGTTTAAAACCCTGCTGAACGGTTTTCTATTGTAAATTCTACAAATGTCTAAATAAGTTTCTTTCTTATTCTAAATTTTAATTGACAAGCTTCAGAAACAAGCCTGTAGGCATTATGTATTGCTTTATTAACAGTTTTATACCCTACAGATTTTTCTTCTGACAAAATTGCACACAGTCCTAGCTGTGTCTGTCAAAACACACTAATATTTTTGGTCATTTAATCTGCCCAGCTATCTTTTCATGAAATGTCATTCTACATCATCCATAGTAAAATTTAGCAGTAATCATAGATTTTTGATTAAATGGAATCCTTGATTGGAATTCGAACTCTGAGTTAGCACCTCTTCTTTAAAGAAAGCTTCTCTCGAGCCAACTCCTGTAGATTTATTTCCCACTCTCTTTTAAGACTAAACTTTTTCAAAGTTAATTTCCTTTTCCATTTCTATTTCCCTTCTGCTTCCAAGTCTTTTCCTTTGCCTTTCTTCCTGTTTCTCTTCTACCTCAAGTTTATTTTCCCTAGTTTGTTTTCTCTCTGTGAAGTTATTTTTTTCATTTCTTAATGGATCTTAGCTAATTCTAACTGCGACATGTCAGTTTCAGATTATCCTTCTTGTAATTCCAAATGCTGGATAATCACTTTCAGCATCTCCTCCTCATGGGATCCTGCTGTTATTTCCATGTTCAATTTCCCTGCTGGTCTCAGTTAACCGTGTCAAATACTCTGGTTTTAGACTCCCGGAAAACTGTTAACAACATTCAAAACAGTCTTGAAAATCCAATCCATTCAGAAAACTTCACAAAACCTGTGTTCAGCACCATGGTGTTCCTGCTTCTTTAAAGGGGACACTCTTCCCTTCGATTGATTCGAATCCTAAATGAGCCCCCACTTATTATGATCACAGCTGATGATACTACAGGACAAGTCCAATCCCAGACTGAAATTTGCCTTGATAGATCATATGTTTGTTCATTTTAGTTAGTGTGGTGGTTTATTACTGAAACATAGTCAAGTGAGACTGCAGAGTTTCTCTAACTGAAGTTTATTACACAGTACAAAAAGTATCAAATCAAGCTATCCAAATATTTAACAACATTTGATAAATCTGATTTTAGGTAGGTGTCCAAAACAATCTATTAAAACCCTGCTAAACAGTTCTTCGAAAACTAGAATTAAAGGTGCTGGTTTAATTAATGCTTGGAATTTCTGAACTACCAGATATGCCACACATCTGGTAGTTGAGAAATTCCAAGCATTAATTAAACCAGCTCCTTTAATCCAGTTTTTGAAGAACCATTTCGCAGAGTTTTAATAGATTGTTTTGGGCATGTATGGCATATCTGATAAAAATTTGATCACACGTGTTTCTAATCCTGGCCAGTAGCATTTTGTGAGCCACTCATAACATGGTATTATAATATTCAGATGAAACCATCACCTGATGGACCCTGTCCATACTTTATCATCTGGTATTTGAGATGTTCTCCATTTCCTCATTAGTACTCTGTCTTTCAAGTAGTAACACTCATGTTTGGTATTGACTACATTGGGCATGCATCTTTCAGTTCCAAGACCTATTGTTTTGCAGATCTATTTAAGAAGATGGGCTCAACATGTCAGCCCCATTCTCTCTATCTCATCCTTTTGAGCTAAGTTTTCAACATTTTATGTATTAACTGAATTTCCAAGACATCTTGTCGGACCATAGACTCTTCTTCCTGTCTAAATCTATGGCCAAGATCTAATCACAACAGCTGGGAAATAATCTGAAATGTTCTCTTCTATCATTTCAGTTTCTTGCACCTGCACTGGTTGTTCCATCACCCTCAGTGAGACCACTGTTTTTGAACCAACTAGGTCATTTGCCAAGATAAGATCCACTCCTTCTTCTGTTGAAATTTACCTATCTACTCCTTCATTTTAAAAATCTATTCGCTGGTAGGATGTGGGCGTTGCTGGCTGGATCAGCATTTATTGCTTACCCCAAGTTGCCCTTGAGGAGGTAGAGGTGAACTGCCTTCTTGAATCGCTGTAGTCATATGCTGCAGGTAGACCCACAATGGTTAGGGATGGAATTCTAAAACTTCTCAATTTATAAGGTTACTCTTTATTCTAATTCTGTGAACTGGAACATGTTTGTAGCATCCATATTTATTTACAGTTAATATTTTTGCCTTCATTAAGCCCTCTGGACAAAAGTATCGTCAGCCAACATCAGTGACTGACTTGCTCCTCCAGTATCTTTCTGTATATTTATTGGTTTACCTCTTTGATGAGAAGCATCATAAAATAAGTTTCTTTTTGATCTGAAATATTCAGAACCTCCAGTGGCCTGATTCTGTTCGTCAATATTCAAAGAATTTTCATGATTACCCTGAGTCGTTTTTTTTTTTTTTGGTACATTCAAAGAAATACATTCTCTTTGTAATACAGCTACGGTTTTAATACCTTTTAAAACAAAATCAATAGTGGGATGTAGGCATTACTGGCTGGATTTGCCCTTGAGAAAGTGGTGGTGAGCTGCCTTCTTGAATTCTTGCAGTCCCTGTGATATAGGTAGACCCACAATGCCATTTAAGGATGAAGTTCCAGGATTTTAACCGAACAATACTAAAGGAAATGCAATATGTTTCCAAATCAGGATGGTGAGTGGTTTGGAGGGGAATTTATTCCCATGTATTTGCTGCCCTTGTCCTTCTAGATGATAGCGGTTGTGGTTTGGAAAGTGCTATCTCAGAAGCCTTGGTGAGTTTCTGCTATGTATCTTGTAGATAGTACATGCTACTGCTACTGCGTATCTGTGGAAGTGGTGCCAATCAAGCATCACACCCTTTTCTTTTCCCGATGCCCTATTTTCTGAAGATTCTTCGGATATTCTTACTATTGCAATCAATCTCCCATTTAATTTGCAGCAGTTGGCTTTTGTATGTCCAATCTTATTATATTGTAAGCATGTTAATTTCGTTATATCACTGTTTGGTTCTATGTTTTCTCCTTTATTACTTTGGCAACCTACTGTTTGTTCTCTAAAACCAGTACCTCGTCCATGTGCAGATTTTCAGTTTGTTCAGTTGCCTTATGGATTCCCATATGACTGTCTCTTCATCTTTAACATTGTGTGAAATCTCATAGGTATCTGCCAAAATTGCTGCTTCTCTGATTCTTGATAGTTGGCCCTCCTCTAAGTAGGTTTTTGGGTTTGTAGGAATGTTGTTTCTGAATTTTTCTGTAATCATAATTTATCTTACATTCTCAATTTTCTCTAACTTTTGTATACCTAAACTACTGAACCCATTGCATTTATTTTTCCTTCAGAAATTCTACAAATATCTGATTCAGTTTAGTTTTATAGTTCTAAATTTTAATTTACAAGCTTCAGGAACCATAAGGGTTTGGCATTGCCTTATTAACAGTTTCAAAAACTGCAGATTGTTCTTCTGATGATCTTGTGTATACAGTTATAACTGTACCTGTCAAAACATTTTAAAGGTGTAAACATCTTTTGGCCATTTCGTCTGTCCAGCCAGCTACCAAATGAGGTGAAATGTCTTTTGGACTTTATCCTCAGTAAAATTTGGCACTAAAGTGTAGATTCTTTGTTTGATTCTGATTCCAATTAAGAATCTTTCTCAAGCTTTTTAATTTGCTTTTCTATAGCTAAGTCATATTCTCTAATTTCCCTGTCTCTTTAGAGTTGAAGTTTTTTTGTTTTAATTGTAACTCCTTTCAAATTAATCTATTTTTTCTTCCCTCACTGTCCATTTGTCTGTTTTTAGAGTCACTACCGTTTGGAAACAGGCATTTCAGCCCATGCAGTTCACACCTTGAAGACCATCTGACCCAGACTCGCCCTTTTACCCTATCCCTGTAATCTTGCATTTAGCATGGCCAATCCACCCAACCTGCACATCTTTGGATTGTGGGAGGAAACTGGAGCACCTGGAGAAAACCCATGCAGACACAGGGAGAATCTGCAAATTCCACACAGTCACCCAAGGGTGGAATTGAACCCAAGTTCTTGGTGCTGTGAGGCTGCAGTGCTAACTGCTGAGCTATTATTTCTTTATTCTGTCATTCCAATTTAACTCCTCTTAACTCTATGTCCTGTTCCGTTGCTCTATCCTTCTGTTTTTCATCTAACTCAAGACTTTTCACTAACCATATCCCAGCTAATTCTTGCATCTCATATTCAGGTTTCTCTTCTAATTCTAAATGTTGGATAATCACTTGAGCTCTTAGTTCTAGCTTCAATTTATTCACTAATTCTCTGAGTTTGGCCATTGTCAAGTAATTTAAAGAGTCCAGTGTGATATCTTTCACTCCCAGAAAACTCTTAGTAACATTCAAAGCCATTGTCAAAATCTGTACGATAAACTCTGCTACAACACAGCTGTTTTATGTCGAGCACCTCCACATACACATCTCTTGAAAAGAGGCACAGATCTGTCTTAATTTCAAAGAACTGAACTCCACAAGAGCCATCACTTGGTATGATCACAGCTAATGTTACTACTGCACAAGCAAAATACAGAATAAAATTTGGCATGACAGATGTCATTTTGTTTTGTTCCTGTTTGTTTAGAATCAAGGGGCAGTCTTTTGCTGAAATACCAGCAATGCAGATTGCATATTTGATTTTAACAATTAAACAGAAGTTTGTTCTCCAGTTTAAAAGGTTTCTAAAAATGTAGCAAAACAAATTCCCATCCACCCAGACAGTCATTTTATAGTTACTCAAAAACCAGAGACAGATCTTTCCCTAATCAATCAGTAGGTCTTCTAGTTCCAATTCTAAGCTATGAGGTCTTTTCCCTGGAATATTCACACAATTGCAATCTTAGAATTGTTCAGCTTTTAATAAACAATACAAATTACCAACAAAACAGTCCTACTCTGGAAATTTCACAAACTAAACTCTTTCACTGAGTTAACTTGTTCCCTTAACTGTTCTGAACAATCTTTTTGTTGGAGAAAGTAAAATGGCATCTGAGTCCAGTCATATTGTCTTCAAATTAGCCAAAAAAAGCCTTCCAATACAATCAAACTACCATTTACACTGCAGGAGCCATGTATTGGTTTAAAATTGTGGTTCCAAAAAGACTGAACCAGTTGATTTTTAAACCTGTAGCACAAATAGACTGTAGCCAGTCTCTGTGGCACAATTGGTTAGCGCATTCGGCTGTTAACCAAAAGGTTGGTGGTTCGAGCCCACCTGGGGGCGAAGTTCAAGGGCAAGCACGGTGGCTGAGTGGTTAGCACTGCCGCCTCACAGTGCCAGGGACCCAGGGTCAATTCCACCCTCGGTCGACTGTATGTGTGGGGTTTGCACGTTCTCCCCGTGTCTGCGTGGGTTTCCTCCGGATGCTCCGGTTTCCTCCCACAGTCCAAAGAGGTGCAGTCTAGGTGGTTTGACCATAGTGTTCAGGGATGAGTAGATTAGGTGGGTTATAGGGGGATGGGTCTGGGTGGGATGCTCTGAGGGTCAGTGTGGACTTGTTGAGCTGAAGGGCCTATTCCCACACTGTAGGGATTCTATGATTCCATGATGATCAAATAAACCAACACCCATGTGCCACTAGTTTGAAACCCAAGCACTTTTTGAAAAAATATATATTAAAAACAACTTTTGTTGCATACTGTATTTCTGCAAACTGAAATTAACTACACTTCGCCAAAAGCAATCACTGGTCTCACTGTGGTAAGTAGTAACTTATCTTGCTGTGTACATTAGAACAATGGACAGTACAGCATAGGAACAGGTCCTTCAGCCAACCATGTCTGCGCTGACCATAATGTCTTTCTAAGCTAATGCCGTCTGCCTGAACGTGATGTGTATACCCCTATTCCTCGCCTGTTTTTGTGTTTGTCTAATTACCTTATAAATGTTGCTGCTTCTACCACCTCCCTTGGCAGTGTGTTCCAGGCATCTTAACACCTTCCATGAAAAAAAAGACTTGACTCACACATCTTTCAACTTTCCCCTCTCATCTTAAACCTATGCCCTATAGTATTTGACATGTCCACTCTGACTGTCCACTCTATCCAACCATCTCATAATTTTATATACTTCTGTCAGGTCTCCCCTCACGGTCTAGTGCTCTTGTGAAAATAGTCCAAGTTTGTCCAACACCACCTAATAGCTAACACACTCAAGTCAAGGCAACACCCTGGTAAAACTCTTTTGCACACTCTCCAAAGTCTCCACATCCTCTTTACAGTGTGACAACCAGAACTATATATGATACTCCAAATATGGCCTAATTAAAGTTTTATATAATGCAACATGACTTGCTAACTTTTATACTCAATGCCCAACCGATGAAGGCAAGCATGTTATACGCCTTCTTTATTACCTCATCCACTTGTGTTACCACTTTCAGGGAGCTATGGACTTACACCCCAAGATCCCTCTGTATACCAATACTCCTAATGGTCCTGCCATTTGGTGTATACTTTCCGCTTAAATGCATCATCTCACACTTGTCCAGATTAAACTCCATCTACCATTTCTCTGCTCAGCTTTCCAACTGAGCTACATCTTGCTGTATCCCTTGGCAACCTTTCTTATTATCTACAAATCCACCAATTTCATGTCATCTGCAAACTACATTTTCATCCAAATCATTTATTTATATTACAAACAGCAGAGGTCCTAGCACTGAACCTTGCGGAACACCACTGGTCAGAAAACATTCCTCTACAACGACCCTCTATGTTTCATGACCAAGCCAATTTTGTATCACCATGGATCCCACGTGACTTAATCTTCTGGACCAGCCTATCATGAGGGACCTTGTCAGAGATGCTTTATTCGTAAAGTCCATGTAGACAGCATCCACTGCCCTTCCATCATCAACCATTTTTCTCACTTCCTCACAAAACTCAAACAAATTTGAAGGACAAATCCCTCTCAAAGCCATGCTGACTATCCTTAATAAGTCCATTCTTTTCCACATACAGATAAATCCTGTCCCTAACAATCTTTTCCAATAATTGCTGTGCGACTGATGTAAGGCACACTAGCCTGTAATTTCCTAGATTATCCCTGTTGCCTTTCTTAAACAATCGAGCAACACTGGATGTTCTCCAGTCTCCTGGGACCTTGCCTGTGGCTAAAAAGGATACAAAGATCGCTGTCAAGGCCCCAGCAATGTCCACCGTAGCCTTCCTCCATATCCTTGGATAGATCCCATCAGACCCTGGTGAGTTGTAGATCTGCCTTTATGCTTTTCAAGACACCCAATATCACCACCTCCTTAATAATGACATGCCCGAGAATATCAAAATATCACTCCTTGATCTTACCATCATGTGAATGTGTATATTACTGTGTATAAGTATTGTAAAATGTTGCAGCTGATATTTCATCTAACCTGATCTAATCTCAAAATTATGCGATAATGAATGCAAGGGAGTGTGTCAGTACTTTATCATCAAAACCATTTTTTTTCACTTTCAGAATACGAGTACAGGCTGTAAACAGCATTGGACCTGGTCCTTTCAGCCATACCATTAAAGCAAAAACAAAGCCACTGCCTCCAGAGCCACCTCGACTTGAATGTGTAGCCTTTAGTTATCAAACTCTGAAGCTGAAATGGGGAGAGGGGACTGCAAAAGTTTTGGCATCGGATGCCATTCAGTATGTCTTGCAAATGGAGGACAAGACCGGGAGGTAACTTCAGAATCTATTTCTAATGGATGCCACTAAAATGGCCAAAATGAGATGTATAAAAGTTCCAGAAAGTGACTCTGACTCATCATCTTTTTGTTCCCTTTCCCTTGTCCTGTGGATAAATGCCTAGCTTCCAAAGGTATTTCTTTCTGATAGAATTGCCACAATTAAGAATGTACTGTGTGAAAGTGTGTGTACTGGCATCACATTTCTTCATCCCATTGATTCATGCCATGGTTTCGTCTTAAAATGTAAATGAATACTTTAAAAGCTGCTTGATTTTGGATGAATCCCATGTTCCATACATTAGGGAATAACTAAATAGTTCCATGAACATTGTATATTGGCCATGGTGCAGCAACCTCTTAAATTGATTTCGAGGCCTGACTTCTGTACATGAGCATGCTATAAATGAAAGCGTAGATTTGTGTAAATAATTTCTATAAATTATTCTTAGGAGCAACTAGTAATTCACTTGCATAGCATTCATATTTATTGGAATTCCATTGTCAAACCTTCTTCTCACAAATTGACTGTGGGTTATAGAGAACCATGGTGGCTGCACCCAAAAACCTTTCTAAGCAATGAAGTGTGACTGGGAAAGCAAGGATTTGCTTAACATATTTAAACAATAAAAGTTGAGAAAAATTCAGCCAGGAAGAAGAAAATTGGCACAGATATGGTTGTCAGTGACAAATAAGACAAATTTCAGAAGCAAAATGTTGAAACCAATTGCAAGCCATAAAGAGTTCCATTTTAAAAATAATAAGAACCAGCCAGGCATCAAGGGTACATTACAGCCATAAGTTAGTCTTAAAGAAGTCTTTTTTAATAAATGAGGAAAAACTGAGTGTTTAATACTTGGTGGAGGACAAGTCTGAAATGCTTCAGAATTTTGCAGATGCCATTAATACCTGGGTGATCTTTCAGGTATTCAACGATATACAAAGGACCATGTCACACACACAAAGTTCAAAGACTCAATGAGTCAACATGCTACAGATTTAAAATTCAGGCATGTAATGAAGCAGGTGAAGGACCCTTTTCTGACGTTTACACTTTCACAACTGCCAAATCTCCCCCATCTCCTGTTAAAGGTAAGTGCTTATTGATTTTTTTTTTAATTTGGTTATCTTGGATCATTAGACCTATAGATTACATTTAATGTCAGTGTAAGCACCAATTATGTGTCCATTTTCAGTTTTTGAAGTTGCCAAGGGTAGTTCTCCAGTAACCTCAAAGAATTTTGCCAGTGTTCCATTTTAAAGGCCTGAAAAGGCAAACAGCATTTTTTTTTCCCCCGAGTTATCTCTCCTTTTAAATTATGCCATTTATTTCACCTATCCCATCCTAAATGCAGCTTCATTCACCTGTTGTTTCCAAACAGCGGTCCTTCAAATTAGAGTAAATCCATCCAATTTTGGTGACTTCTCCATGATGACTATGAATGTCACTCAGTAAACAATCAGTAGAAAATACATTTGTAAAAGGAGGTTTTTCAATCTCCAGGTAAATTGCCATTCCTTAAAGAAGAGAAGAGCAGACCAGAGGATCCGTCACCCTAGCGTGATGGTGTGTGCCTTCTGCGATTTGGTTCTTAGCATCACTGCTGAAAAGCTGAAATTGCTATTCAGTTCCAGGTGGTGTCTGGCCTCCGAAGACAGATGGATTTTATATCCATGCAAAATGCATAGCCACAATGGCTGCAACCTGTTGCTTACAAATGTGTATCCTCTTGATACAAGGGGAGGTGATGGCCTAGTGGTAGTATTTCTGGACTGTTAATCCAGAGACCAGACAACATTCTGGGGACCCGGGTTCAAATCCCGCCATGGCAGATGGTGGAAATTAAAATTCAATAAATATGTGGAATTAAGAATCTAATGATGACCGTGAATCCGTTGTCGATTGTCAGAAAAACCCATCTGGTTCGCTAACGTTCTTTAGGGAAGGAAACTGCCATCCTTACCTGGCCTGGCCTACATGTGACTCCAGACCCACAGCAGTGTGGTTGCCTCTGGGCAATTAGGGATGGGCAATAAATGCTGCCTAGCCAGCAACGCCCTCATCCTGTGAATAAATAAAGAAAAAAAAGTCCATCCCTTGTTTAAAAAAGACTATATACTAATTTCATAACTGCCTTTATTATCTGCATTACTAAATTAATCTTTCTAATTCCCTTCTGACCAGCTCCAAGATTAAAGCAACTGAAGGAGAATGTATGTGATCTCACATGGGAACCTTTGCCAGCAATGAAGGGGGATCCAATTGTTTACAATGTTCAGGCCATGGTTGGCAAAGACTCTGAATTCAAACAGGTAAAGTTTCATTTGGATTTACTTGGACGATGCGAATTTAAGTGCTTGTTTTACATGTTCATGGGATGTGGGTGTCACAAAATAGACCAGCATTTATTAATTGCCTATCCCTGATTTCCATCTTGAGCCATTGCAGTCCTTGGCATGTAGGCCACCCACCTTCGTTCTTTGTAATAGAGGACAGGCATTGGGAGACAGAAGCTGAGTTACTCAACAACGAATTCCTCTTCTCTAGGAATTCTGATTTGCAGTTGTAGCCGTAGTATGCACATGACCGGTCCAGTTCAATTTCTGATCAATGGTGTCACCTAGGATACTGCTGGTGAGGCATTCAGCAATGGTAATGTCACCGAGAGTCAAGTGGCAATGGTTAGATTCCCTCGTGGAGATGGTCTTTATCTGACACTTATCCAATAAACAAAGATGTTGTCCAGGTCTTGCTGCGGATTGGCACAAATTGCTTCGCTATCTGAAGAGTCTGTACTTGTACCGAACAGTGCACAACCATCAGTAAACTTTGCCACTTTGACCTTTATAAATATAGGCAAGTTTACTGATGAGGCAACTGAGGGTGTAAGCATTACTACAGAATTAACCATCTGTTCTGATACCTGGTGTTCTCTGCTCACCTTGTTTAGCACTTGTGGACTTAGAAATTCTTTTCAAACCCTGATTTTATTTTAACCCTTTTACTGTCTCTTGATGCTGTGTTCTCCTTTCTCAAATCAGAAAAGGAGGCATTCATCACCCTATGCCATTCCACTTGAATAATTAAAACTCAGGGTTTTGTAGCCTCTTGTCTGATAATTACTGTTTTTCTGATACATACCCACCCCATTGTTGATATTATAGAGGATAGGTGAATTAAGTTTAAATGATAGGCAGGTATGATTGTCCCAAGCAGAGACTTAAACTCATAGCTTCTGAAATTGCTTTACTTCTGCCAGTATTGGTTTGTTAGTGAAAGCATTCCACTCGGATCTGAGCACCCTATGGTGCTATAGTGTTTTTAACTGTAAGAATAGATTATCTTGGTGTTTCATTTTCATGGATTGAACATTGATTATAAGTGGTGATATAATTGAGAAAAATATAGTGTTTTGCTTAAATGTAGGCATCAGCAATGCTCCACTAGACATTTTAATTTGAGTGATAAAGAAAATCTACTGTGTCTCATTGCACATTTGAGTGCTACAGTGGTGAGAGAAGTGTTGCTACAGTGGTGAGAGAAGTGTTGCTACAATGTGTGAAATTGGTGAAAGTATGCTCAAGTATGTGAAGGGGAATTCAGCAGTACAACATTGCGTCATTCATTTGTGCATTTACCTTATTGAGGTATTCATTTTTAAACTAAACATAAAAAAAATATTTTTGATGACTAAGGAACACCATGAATCTAGTAACAGTAATTTCAAATGGTTTTTATTAATCCCATATGCAACCTGCTTTGTCATTCTGTCCATACCAGCAAGATCTGATTAAACAGGGCATATATTTCTACAGAATAATATGGAGTTAGCTTAATAACCAATGTTTTACACAATTAAAGATTTTGTTTCTCGAAATAACATTGTTAGAATGAATAGTAATGGTAATTACCTGTAATCTTATCATTGATTAGTAGTGAATAGTTGAAATTTATTCTATAATTGCGTTTGTCATAATTGTAAAATGTGGGACTGTTTTCAATATTTATTTTCGGTCTGGAAATTATTCTCCTAAACAATCGAATGGTACCCTTTGGACATAAGAAAATGGGAAAATGTTACTGAGTATTTCAGTGGTATTGTCCATGCTTTGGACACTTCAACCAGTTTTTGTATTAAAAACCCAAGTGCTCTTATTGGTGAGGCAGACAAAGGGACACAGAGTTCAATTGACAGTTTAACTTGATTTTAATAACAAAATATTCCTTGTTAACAACATAATGTGAGCATTTCCAAAATTGCCACAATATTTACTCTCTATCTAGCTCTAGCTGTCTGAGAAAGGATATTACCCTTAACCTTTCTACGAAGGTGGGTATTGCAGGTCAGGGCAAATCTTCACCTGGGTCATCTTTGATTGCCACATGGTCTTCCATCACAAGTCTTGCTGCAAATCTTTGCTAAGGGATGTGGCTTCCAGTGTGTTTTTATCACCCCTCGCCCCAGACCTGCCTGAATATTCTGTGGTCTTTGTTTAGTGGGGTCATGAGCAAGGTTTAAAACATCCAATGGGTCACGCCAATACACTTCACTGTTGCCATGCCAGGGAAGTGTAAATTGCATCACCTCAGGCACTGGCTGGAAATTAAGGTACCAGGAAGTCTGATCAATAGTTCTCCAATGTACACTCTTCGGGCTGGTTGCCCCAGAAACTTTGTGACCTCTTTGACCTTGGCTTCCACTGTTCTCTGTTGCCAATAGCTGCTGGCTGCTTATTTAGTCAATTTTCTGTCGGGCCCGATTTCTCCAACTGTTGACTCAATTTAGAATGTCTAATTTTGGCCCTTTGTTGCTTGACCACAGCCCCTCATGTTGATCATTTGAAGCTCTAGTGAAAATAGGATCACAGGCTAAGACCACGCTGTCATGCAGACACATATCAAGTCTCAGACAGATAGCCTAAACTGTCTTAGTATCTGGTTTCCCCATTGCACTTGGACAAAATACTCTATAAACTCCCTAGCTCTCTTATGTAGGAGAATACAGGCTTCTAGTTTCTAGATGAGTACCTTCTTCCAGCAGATGACTTTAACCATGAGGATGGTGGGGTAGATCAAAATAAACAGGATGAACAACACATAGGAGTGTGTGTGATAGGAGTCGTACCCCCAGCCTCAGTAGATATCATGCCAACTAGTCACTTACTTCCCTGATACCCTTTTGAATTTGCTCTGTCTGCTGAAAAACAGTTGCAGAAACTTTGTGTCCAAACCTCCTGTGATTTTTCTGCTAGGAGTTCAATGCTAGTGTTGTACTTCTTTCAATAATCCCCTAAAGTTGCCTGAGTTCATCAGTGACATTGATAAAGATCTCACTCCTCCTGTGAATGTCTGTGAGCTTGATTAGGCCTGCCCTGGCTGGTATGTGTGACCTAATATAAAGGTGTTTTTTTTTGGATGTTGCATGTGAGAGTCCCAAAGTTCTGATGCGGTATTCTCCCTTCCACCATCCCCACCCCCTCCACATAGGGCGGTTTCTTGGGCAGACTGTCTCTAACCATCCCTTTGGCTTCGGGGCTGCTGCATGCCAAGGCCCGCTTCTTCTGGCTGCAATTGGAGGGGCCAGCTCTGGTTCATTTCTCAGGAGGAATAGTGTCCAAGGCTGGTCCAGGATCCTGGGCTGGTATGGATCAGGTCTTGGGTTGGTGTCCGTTTTCCTCCCACCTCCCAGTTTCCCTGGAAGCTTGTGAAGCTGGGTGGCTGTTTCTTTGTGCTCCATAGGAGTTTAACTGATTAACATGATACCAGATCTTCCTGTATCTAGCAAAATTCTGTACACAGACAGGCTGACCTTGTACACCGCCAAGCAGGTACGTGAATATCTAAGAAATGTTCCCGGTTGGAAACTTGTAACATTACCCGCTGCCCTGCCTCATATTCTACCATGTACAACTTCCCATCAGAGTACGCCTTGCCCCACTTTTTCCTTTTTGCTATTCAGATGGCCACTGTTTTGTGAACAACCTGTACATTTTCTAATAGAATTTTTGCAGTTTTCTCATGGCAGAAGGTTTTGACCTCTCTGGTTCTGTCAAGTCCAGTCCTATTAAGAGTTTGATTCTTCTCATGGAATGTGTGGTCATTAGAACTTGGGATATGAATCCAGTTGAACAGGAAGATAAATTCCCTATGAGCGTGAAGACAAAAGGTAAAACTATGTTCGAGGTTGAGTTGTTTTGCCGGACAACCCTTCACAGCATCCCCTTGAGGGTGTGATTCATCCTCTTTACAGTCCTGCTGGGTTGAGGATGGTAGGCAATGTGGAACCTTTGGCTGTATGAAATGGGTTCCCTAATCCAAATCTATGCTGCAGGAAGACCCCATCTAGTGAAAACGTGCTTAATTAAGATGTCTGCTGTAACTTTTGCGGTGTTTGTTTGAGTGGGGAACAACTCTACCTACTTGCTAAAGTTGTCCACGATAACCAGGACGTACTTATATCCCCCTTTATACGGTTATAGGAGGTCAGCGTAGTCTATTTGAAGATCAATTCATGGCCTAGTATGTCATAGCTCTGAGATAGCATGAACTGCAGATGCCGGAGTCAAAGTCAATACAGTGTGGAGCTGGAGAAACACAGCAGGTCAGGCAGCATCAGAGGAGCAGGAGAGTCAACATTTCAGGTAGGCACTCTTGTTGTAGCTCTCCTTGATTGACATACTGGTCTGGAATGTTCGGAGTACAGATGATACAAGTCTGGACATATGTTTTATATATTTTCCCATTTCTGGCCACCCACATAATCCGGAGTTGCTGGTTGGTTCACCGAGCTGACTGGTTTTCGTGCAAACATTTTGGCCCCCTTCTAGGTGACATCTTCAGTGCTATCTAGCCTCCGTTGAAGCATTGTTGTTCTGTTCCATTCTGAATTTATATGGTCCAGACTGTCATGGTAGGTAGTTCTGTTCCCTGTTTTACTCCGTAGTGGTATGTAGATGGGGTCTGTTTGTTTATGGTACCAGTAGTTGAAAAACAGACTCCCAGGAATTCTTGTGCTTATCTTTGTTTTGCTTGACTTATACCATTACATTGTCCCAGTTAAACTGAAGTCCTCCTTTGTCAGAGTGAATAGAAACAAGGGAGAATTGCTCGTGCTGTTTTGCTGTGAGTTGGTGTTAGTGTGTCCTGGTGGCGAGTTTCCTGCCCTTCTGTCCTATGTTTTACTTCTCACAGTTACTGCATGGTATTTTATATATCGCATTTGCCCTGCTCAATGTGGGTATGGGGTCTTTCGTCTTTGAGAGTAGCTGGCGAAGTCTGGCTATTGGTTTGTATGCTATCGTTATTCCAAGAAGGAGTCTTGTAGTTTGTTCCAATATGTTCCTAATATAGCACAGGGTGGGGATTACAGTGTCTTCTTGGTGTTGTTTATTTGCCAGGCATCGGTGGATGAAGCTGTTTGGATACCCATTGTTTGCAAAGACCTTGTATAGGTGTTCCTCTTCGTTTTTGCATAGTTCCAGGGTGTTGCAGTGTGTTATCGCTCGTTTGAACAGAGTCTGTGTTTGTAGATGCTGGGGTACTGTTGTAACTCAGGATTTGGTCTGTGTGTAGTTTTTCTGTGTACACTCGTAAGGAATTCACCGCTTTTTGTTTGTCCCACCATTACATCTAGAAACGGGAGTTGATTGTTATTCTTCTCTTCCCTGGTGAACTCAACCCGGTCAATGAGCTGTTAATAAGGTGTTGAGTTTCTTCTAACTTTGCTCGTTTGATGGTCACGAAAGTATTGTCCACATACCTGACCTATTATTTAAGCTGGATCTGAGGGAGGGCTGTGTGTTCAAGTCTTTGCATAACTGCTTCCACTATAAGACCTGAGATGGATGAACTCATGAGTGTCCCATTAATTTGTTCATGTACCTGGCATTGGTCTAGTAATTTCAGCATATTGTCTTTGCTGATGATTTCATTAGAGGTCTGTGTTTTTGGATTGTCTAGTAACATGGCCAGTGTCTCCTTTGCTAGTGGCATGTCTATAGAGGTGAATAGTGCCGTAATGTCAAAGGAGACCATCGTTTCATCCTTGTCGATTTTTGTTTCTGATGTTGTTATTCAGGAATTCCTGTGCTGAGTGTACGGAGTGAGTTGACCCATTGGTGAGGTGTTTCAATCTATTTTGTAATTCTTTGGCTAGCCTGTGTGTCAGTATGCTCGGCAAGGAGACTGTGGGTCTCGGGCTTGTCTGGTTTGTGCACCTTGGGTAGTCTGTAGAATCAGGGGGTGTTTCTATTCACTCCGACAAAGAAGGACATCCATTTAACAGTGTAACAGTACTAGGACAAGCAAAAGAAAGACAAGCACAAGAATTCTTGGAAGCCTGGTTTTCAACCAGTAGTGTCATAATTAACATGTTGAAATAGACCCTATCGACATACCACTACAGAGCAAAACCGGAAACAGAAATACCGACCATAACAGACCGGACCATATAAATTCAGAACGGAACAGAACAACAGTGCGTCAACGGAGACTAGACAGCACTGAAGATGTCACCTAGAAGGGGGATGAAATGTTTGTACGAAAACCAGTCAGTTTGGCAAACCAACCAGCAGATCCAGCCACAACCCAAGCTACAGATCTTCACTGAAACATTACCTGCACAATCCCTTAATTCTGTCAGTTGTGGCTTCTGTACCTTAATGACCCTGGACATCTTAGCATTGATAAACCACTTGATTCCAATCCTGGACAAGTACCACATGCTATCCATCTTTGAGAACAAGTTCGTCTTTAGTACTTCGTTTGTCCTTCCACCCGCTATATAAGGCGGGATCATTCCCTCCCAAACTTGCTTTAACTCGGCATGTTGGTGGACTGTAACCTTAATGATGCCATATTCACAACCTTGGTCAGTTTGGAGAGTAAATTTGAGCAGGGGTGCAGATAGTAATGGTTTCCTGCCTGCTGAGGTGAATCACCCAGCTCCCAACAGTGACAGGAGGGCAACTAAACTGGTGCAGACATGCATGATGTTTGGTGTATGTGTGCTGGTGGGGGAAGTTTTTCAGGCAGGCTGACTATGCAGGCTACAATTGCTTGCCTGAGCACTCATTTTGTTGCGGACCCTCAGTGCTAACTCTGTTAGGGGTTCAACTCTGTGGTTCTCCATAGATTTTTATGCATCCTGTCCTTTGATGTTCGTCCTCCACTGATTGGATCCATCTACAGATATTGTCACAGGATCTCTTTTCTGCTGTCCAGGTTCCCCTGGATCTTCTCCCACTTTTGTTTTGGCACAAATGGTTACTTGGGGACATTTGTTGCCACTACATGACACTCATGGAGTCCTCCTTATAGCTCAAATTTGTCAGCTAGCCAGGTGGGCCTTGGTACATTTGACTACAATGTCATGACACTGTAACATTAGAGTTCAGCACACTATCAGGTTTTGGCTGACACTACTGTCTTTAATCCTGTGTTGAGTTAAAGTTGAATGGGGCTGTCCTCCAACAGAATGGGAGTTTGGGAGTTCAGGCTGATAATATCAGCAAGATGTCAGACCAGGCAGAACACACTTATCAACTGCTTTTCATGCGTAGAGAAGCCTCTTCTTATGAACGACTCCAGGAGGCATAGGCTACTGGTCGGAGTTTATTGTATTGATTTTGGAGAAGTATGCCTGCTAGTGTGGCACCTGTGGTTGCAACATGCAAAACAAAGGGAGGTTCTGGGTCAGGTATTTGCATTGCAAGGGCCTGCACTATGGCTGGTTTTAATTCAGCAACAGCATCTGTATGCTGTTCAGACCATTCCCATAGGTGCTCATTTTAACGAGGTTGGCAAGTGGGGCAAAACCATCAATGTGATTCTGACAGTATCTCACCAAGCCTAGAAAGGAACATAACAAACTTACATCCCTAGTCTGGGACAATTGGGTTACGGCTTCAATGCGCTACCCTTCTACTCCTGAGCTATTACAGTTCCCAAATTTGAGACCTGCGACCTCATGATCTCTGCCTTCAGGAAGTTAACTTTTAGACCTAACATGGTGAGGAAGGTTAACAGTTCCTTTAACAGTGTCAAATGTTCAGTCTTTATTTCTTTCTGCAGAAGATTGTCCATGTACTGTACCAAACAGTGCAGTCAGGAAAGCATCTCCAGCCCTTCAGCCAGCCTCTGATGAAATATTGACCGAGAATTGTTAAAACTCTGGGGCAAGCAGGTCCATCTGTATTACTAGCCGTGAAATATGAAGCTGAAGTTAAATTGGCAGTGTCATTTAGAGTTCGATGGACCAAAATACATTACTAATATCCAGTACGATGAAATATTTGGCCCAGAGGTAGAGTTGCTACCATGGTGCCAAATGCCTCCATGTTTTTTATGTAATTTAGTTCAAAATCTCAAACTGTTCTGGTGGAATCTGAATGCATGTTTTCTGGATCACGAGTCCAATATCATAACCTCTAGACACATTAATGGTGTTGACAGTGTTGTAAAGTAACACAGAATAAGACCTTTGTGGTCAAGCAACCATAAACTCAAAATTGGACATTGTAAATTAACCCACAGATGGAGAAATCAGGCCTGACTGAACATTAGCCAAACTAAATTAAACAGCAGTCACCAGTTATCAACTACTGAGATCTCAGGGAAATCAAGGTCAAAGAGGTCACAAAATTCAGGGGCAACCAGTTATAACCAGCCTGAGGGTTGTATGTTGAAGTATCAATCAGACTTCCTGGCACCTTGACTTCCAGCCAATACCTGAGTGCACTTTACACTTCCCACTTAGGGTAATAGTGAAGAGTGCTGGCAAGACTCCATTGAATGCTTTAAACCCCAGTCATGATCCCATTGGCCAAAGGCAGTAAGACAAGAGGCCGACTGTGTGGCAATCCAGGTAGACCCGGGAGAAGATCTGCCTTGATAGAACTATAGAGGCCACGTGTTGTGGCAATTTGGGAAATTCAGATAAAGGATATTTTGTTAATAAAAGCGAGTTGATGCGCGAATTGAATTCTATGTCATTTTGTCTGCCTCACCAACAAGAGCACTTGGGTAAAGTGTTTTTAATACATAAACTGGTCGAAGTGTGCAAAGCACAGGCACTACTGGCATCCCTGGGTGGCTTTGATTAGAAGTGTTGTATAATCTCAAGTCGAACCCACTAACCTTGAGTTCTCTGATATTTAGCCTCAGCCTGAATTCAGAGAGCAGTTGCCCCAAGTGATGGCCAAGATTCAAGTTGGTGAAAGAGGGTGAACATTTCCAACTAATGATCAGACTATTAACCAGATGCCTGTCACGTGAGGAGAACGAACAGCCAGAGTTAGTACAGGGTTGGGGACCCATGGAAAAGAAAATCTTAACATAGGCTGGTATAGGGTTGGGGACCCACAGAAACAGGCAAGGAACCCGAATACAGTGTCAGCAGACCCATGAGTTGGTGAGAAGCCATACATTGGAGTCAGGGACCCATGAGGATACAGAAAAGCTAGAGTAGGTTTCAAGCTGATAGTTGTTTTCTTTAAATGCATTTAAGCAAAAGAACATACAAAGTTAACCATATTCTATATTTTACCATCTCTAGTTTTTTTTTTTTAAAAGCTGTTTAAATGGGGATATTTATTATATTTACCCTTTATAATCAGGCCTCAGAAATATCTCATTAATGTTCAGAAATGTGCATTTCTGTTGGGTGAACAGCATTACATCAGTGTGAATTGGACTTCATAGGCACTCCAAAGACTGTAAAAGGAACAATTTGCATTTATGTAATGATTTTGTCCCAAAGAGCTTTAAAGTTAATGGTAACTAGTAGGAAATAAAATTACACTTGGAGTAAACTTAATGTGCAGTCATCGTCCTAATCTAAGAAATAAGACCGCTGATTTACCTGTAGCAAGGTCCCAGAAACAACAGATGTTGATTGAGAGATGAGACCAGACCAGAATGCCCTCCTCCAAAATATTTCTACTTCCACTTGAAAGAAGGGCAGAGCCTTGGATGACTGTCTCATCCAAAAGTGACATCTCCAGGAAGGAAATTCATGAGTACTGCAATGGAGATTCCACCTGAATAGTGTGTTGAAGTCTTTGAAGTGGAATTTGAATCTCAAATCTTCTGATACAGAAGGAAAAATGCTACAATTGAGTCACAGCTAACAGCATTACAGCTACATATTTGTGTCTACAGTAAAACTCTGCTACATATCCATACGCTATTGATCCTCTAAGAAATGTAGTTAATTGAATGGTAATTGAATACTGTATCTTGTGATTCCTTCAAAATGCAATTGGCTGACTATTGACTTAGTTTCAGCTTGTGTTGTAAGTTTGTTGCATTTGAAAATCTCATTTCAGCCAAGTTTTTTTTTTCCCCCATCCACACTGCATCAACTCTCCCTGCTGTCATGTATATGATTTTATTTCCCACCAGCAACCATACAGAACAGTATCCAAAACATCAGTGCCTTTTTGAAAGTTCAAACCTTAAAAAAGACAGTAATCATGGCAGTATACTGATTATCATGATTGTATGTTGTTTGTATGATGAGAGGACTTTATCTCAAGCCTAGAAAACATTGAGAGTTAAGTACAGGAGTGCTACAGTTCCCATCCTCCTCCAGTCCAAAATTTGAGATGGTATCTTTTCTTCAGTTGGCAGCTTTATAAAAAAACTATTAATAATTTGATCATTCAAATGTGTAGTATAGAGATACATGCAACAAAATTGTTGATTATAGTATTGCATTTGTTTAAAATTAGTGTTTATTTAATATTTGTACAAATCTCAGAAAAATGACAAAACCACAAATTATGTGAATCTAACTCAACATGAAAGGATGGCCTGATGTCCTTCAGGCGAATAACACTAGGACCATGGTTACTAGTGTTTTTAGTATGTCCACATTGTGTCTGATATGTTTCTTTTGTATCCATTGAAATGTATAATCTTAGATAAGCATTTCCCAGTGCCACACAAAAAAAATTGTGCTTTTTTTTAATACTGTGGAACAGGAATACCAGTGAACAGTAAATGTATATGTACACTTTGTATAAAGACACTTTTCTTTATAATCTTGTCTTTTCTAATTCATTAAATTATGTACTGTACCTTTTAAGATGTTTCAATATTTTTCTAAGCAACAATAGCTTTTCAAAGATTGTAATGATTCAGCTGCCACCATTTAGACAAGTGGAAACACTGCCATTCTGTGGAGTTATAAACTGCAACTTTAGCCCATGGTATTCCAGGTTTTAGTTACTAATCTCGGCAAATCCAAATGCTAAAAAGAACGGTAAAACTCATCATTGAAATCCAGTATCCATCACGGCACTGGCTGTAGAATGGCAGAGTCACCTACCAGCACTTACAAATAATGAGTAGTATGAGCAGTGAAGCATGTGGTGTGGGATTATACCTCAATCACGAAAACGTTAGTATGTATTACATGGTTGGTTATTTTGGATACGTTCTGTGATTAATATTTCATTGCTAAGAAAATTAGTTAAGTAATGAAAGCCAACCATATGATAAGTCTGTTCCAGAGATAGTAGGATGCTGGAGAATTTGAGATAACAAGGTGTAGAGCTGGATGAACACAGCAGGCCAAGCAGCATCAGAGGAGCAGGAAGGCTGACGTTTCGGGCCTAGACCCTTCTTCAGAAATGGGG